TTAATCATATCTACTACAGAGATTACGAATCAGAGATTGGGGATCGCCAAGTTTATCGGGCCCCTTTTCTTGCCGGTAGTGTATATAGGAATAGGTAAACTTGCGAATTTGAAAGTGGTCCGGGGGTGTCTTTGATAGATCAAGTGGTCGGTCAACTGTCAAATCTATCGTATAGGAAGCACGAGATTCCCAGACATTCTGAAGTGGAAACTTTTGACAAAATCATTTAGCCTTGACAATCCAATCTCCCTTTTGAAAGTTTGCCTTGACTTACCTTCTAGTCGGTAAACACGAGACGAAGTTGCATCACTCTCGCAACCTCTTCCCAGCAATCAACGACAACACGCACGTCACCCCCTGTTGACAATAATTTCCGATGGCGGGTACGAATGACTGTTTCATTTTCTCCTTCTCTGACAGCATACAGCATTTCTTCTGTGTCAGCGATGAAAGGATTTCCAATTTAAAAATTTTAAAAAATGGGGTTTCAAAGTCGTATGAGCTATTCTAGAAAGCTTCTAGAAGGTTTCTAGAAGCTCTCAGTTTGTCCTTTTAGTTTCCTTAGCTTCGTTTTCATTTGATCCTCATCAATTTTTTCTCTATCGGATGATCCATCCAATCCATCCATCCATCCATCCATCCATTCCATCGTTAATCCCAAACTTCCACAAACAGGCATTTCGTATTCTACGTGTCTTCTATCTTCTCGGTCTAGGATCCTTCCATCTGAATCAAGTTTGATCAAAGGACGAAGACAGTGTTGTTAGGCTGGCTGATGCTTCAAAACATGTATCTTATTTACCAAAATACTTACGGAGTATGTACTTTGATCCCGTCACCGTTCTATATTCCTAGCAAAGTCAATGGCGACAATTATTTTGCTCAGAGGTAGGTGAAATTGAATTGGATATTTGCTCTTTGTTCTTTTGGTGTCACTGGTGTCATCTCTATACCGACGGTAATACCCGGATTTTTCTTATAATTACATACCAAGATTTCTCACCGTTACTTATATTAGACCACTTGTATATTCAATGCGGACTTTGAAATTTCTTGTTTCGAATACATGGATTGGATCTTAGGTATGTATATGATTTTGAGATATTATGGGTTTGGAGTAGGGTAGGGTAGAGTATTAGATACGTATAAGATACATACATAGAAAAGGAAATTCGCTCCCTTTTCCATCTGATGCCGAACTCGGGGCTTATATAATACTTGTTATCCACTTCAATCTATTCTCATTCAACTATTTCATCAAGTAGAGAAATAGAATATATATATAATATATCTCTAAATAACCCATGCCTCTCTTTGAATTCCTAAATCATTAATTTTAATATTATTTCTAGATATCATTACTAAAGAATAATATATATATAATTTATATATTTAATATTTTTTTAATATTGATTGTGTTATATTTTATATAAATTATAATATGCTTTATCATATAATTTTTATTTAAGTAATAATAATAAAATTTATAATTGATATTAATAATTATATTAATGTTTATATATAATATATAATTGATTATAAAATTAAATTATATTTTATTATATATATATATTAATAAAAGAAATCAAAGAATATAAAAAAAATTATTATTTTTTTATATTTAAAGATTTTAAAAAAAGTTTATATATATATATATATATATTTTCCCCTCTAAACAACTCATCCCGAGCTCCGCTTTTGAGGTTATTTACCTCGGAATTTAATTTGAGATATTCATTGTAGAGTATATAGTACAAAATATAAAAAAACTTCAACAGTCTATAAGTATGTATTCTGGGCGTCAAAGTCGGGAGTAGAGATCCGACGGCTTTTTTTTGGTGTTCAGGACGGGTGTGATTTGTTTGCTGGGGTGCTTATTTCGTGTTATGTGGCTGTGTGGATGTGTCTGGATGCGTGTAGTCTGTCAGATTGATGATTGTGGTTTGAGGTTTGAGGCTTGAGGCTTGAGATTGGAAATACGCTTTTGAAGTTTCGATGAGTGGCGGCGGCGATAGGTGTTGAGATGTTAGATACGCAGTTCTGGATACGAAGTTCTAGATGCAGTGAGGGATATGAAGGGATGACTAAACATGTACAAAAGCAATTTAAAGCTGATGTGATCAAGCTAGGGAGAAAATATAAGGTGACTTTTAGTATTAGTATGGTATTGTATAATGATGGCGGGAATGATGACGGGACCTAGACTTATATGACGCTGCAGCTGATGGTACGTACGACATGCGGTAAATTGACGGAATATGTATGTTGAGAGCGGTGGTAGGAGATAGGGGATAGGAGGTAAGGAACTGGATTTTTGAGGTTTAGAATGTGGGCTCGGTGATTGTGTTTATGATTAGTGATAGTGATTAGTGATTATGATTACTTGAGAATTTGGGGTTGATTAGGTGAGGAATTGCCTGCTGGATAAAGAGGTATTTGAAGGTTAGGAGAGAAATACTGCTGGTAAGAGGTTCGTGGATTATTTGTGGTGATGAGAAAGTGGATGGATGTATGAAAACATATAACGGATCGAGTATTTTGCTTTATATTTTTAAATTCTGAGTGCAGTCTTGAGTTGAAATGATAGGTTTTATTTGCTCTTACTTTTGTACCCTGCTTCGGTCGCTATCTTCTGGGTTTTCTTATGCAATGTGCTTTTAATTGAATGATGCTTTATGTCCTAGGGGTTTTCTCATGGTACATACGCCTAGTTTTTGGATACCTGATAGTTGAAAGCTGCTTAATTTGGTAAATGCATGCTCGATGTGGAAGATTTGACATGTTTTATACATATGGGCAATGAGGTTAAGTTGATAGGATGGGAGATTAAAAGGACAATGGGTGTTGAAGTATTCATAATATAATATAATATAAAACAACTCTCATCATGAGCGGGATCTTGCTATAATATGTTGGGGAAATTATACCTGGCAGGTAACTCTGAGGAATAAGTACACTCATCAACTGCTCATAGGGAATCTTTAGATAGGATACTCTAAGTAGATGTCGCATAGAGCTTTGTAGTTAGAAATACTTGAAGGGCTTGTGTGTTTTAGGCTGGTGGCATCTGATATTAGTACATTAATGTAAACTAGGAGATCTAGAAGAGGGAGAAATTCTAGATTCATTCGATTGCAACTCTTTCCGGATCCCATGCGTAAAAGAAACATACTCTGCTCCGTTGACGTAATGTTCTGCATCTTTGATATCCGAGAAGACGCATGAATGTGAGATATTTTCGGTTTCGAGTCCTTGACTCAGAATCGAGTGATCATGGCCACTTTAAACTAATACACGACAGCACACATTCATGTTTCTCCTAAAGGACTTAAGTCCTCTATATATTTGTACCCGAGTAAGGATCCCCAAACATACATCAGTAAGCATTATTTGGTAGTCCTAACCTAGTATCCGAAAGATAAGTCCTTGAATGCTCTACTATGAGATGAGCTTGGAATTTTTAGATATCCTCATTCTATCATAAAAAAGTCATGAGGACTGACAGGAAATATAAAATATCATGATTTGTCACAGTTAACTGACAACTCTGCCTTTTCAAACAGTCTAGATGTAATGATAGCGTGTTGATTAAAGTTCATGACATTAACTACACAAGCAAAGTTAATACAATTTCGGATACTACTCACTATAGATGGATGAGCTTGTTAGTTTCCATTTCTCTTTCCTAGTCTCGGAGGATAACTACTGGTGCATTAATCTTCACACAGAAGACCGTCAAGACAAATCTAGGCCGGCAGTCCTTTCATTTAGGTAAAACGTTCAATTAATATTGAATCGAGATTGCTCTGTTTCTGAAAACATCGTAAAAGTCATAACATAGAATCGGAAGTGACGGAAATAATCCTGACTCCTCAGACTATTCGAAGATACCTGCATGCTTCTGAGTAGTCCAGAAGAACAAGCTCATGCATTCACAATAGTTACATTCCAGGAATTTCCACCACGTAAATGCAAGTATGTCATGTTGACAAGGAGTTGTTTTGCATTGTCCGAACTAGCCAAGAACAACTGATTCAAACTACAAAAATCATCTAAACCGAATATATTCTATATCTATATTTGCCTCGAGTATCTAAGGTGATTACATTTAGATTTAATAGCTTGAGGAAGTGCTGTGCATACCGGTGAATGCGGTCTGCATGTGTTGAGAATCGTTTTCTGACCCGAGCTGGTGCTCTGGATGAAATTATATTACAAATATGGCGGTAATTATACCTCTCGATATTTTCGAATTATTTACTGGAATATGTCAGTATCTGGACTACAATGAGCAGCGCTCACCGATAGCTTGGAATATCGGAGTTGCCTGCTCTCAATTTGCACGTCCTGAAGTTTCTCATAATTTGTTGTGAACTATAGTTTCTACCACGTGTACCCACCAAAGATAATGCAATTAATGTTGTCGGCTTACAAAAAGAGGAGGATTTATTTGCAAGTGATCTACTCATAGATTTTAGCAGCAATCTTCCCACTTTTGTTTTTCTAGACCCAAATTTTTAAAAAATCTTTTTTTAACACTAAGAGAATATCAGGACGCGGTTTATCACAATCTTACACATCCTTCTTGATACGATTTCGCAGTCCTCAAACTTAAATAAGAAATATAGGATTTTTGCACACATTAACATTAACCTAGAAAACCTCCACGCCCCCCGAAGTTCCCTATATTATCATACATACCTTTTCTCGATACTACACTAAAGAACTAAACATTATATAATCAATGAATTAGTAGAATAGAATATATCAATCGTTAGAATTAGGCGAGGGCCCCTTTATTAAACATTAAACTGTAGTCTGGAATATTGCACGATGGCTTGAATCTATCACAATTTGTTTAACTATAAGAGTACGAATGAAATATTTTGTATTGTAAATTTTAAATATCAAAGATACTATAAATGTTCAGTTAACTTTTACTAAGGCAACTTCCATCACTGTTATATTCATAAATACAACATTTAGTCCCAGTGAGCTTAAGCTTCTCCATCCTCGGGGAATTTCCCCAACCCAGAAACTTTTTATCCCAGTACTTCTAGCCATGGTGATCTTTGATTTATTTCTTTTATGAAGTGTCGAGATATCTTGGTCATTTGTTAAAATACAAGAAAACAACTAACAAGATAGCTCAACTGCATTCATCTCCAGACTCTAAGCAGTCCAAAAACATCTTATTTGATGAAGTATTCATCAAGCCATTGAAATAAATCCCAAATCCACATAGAAGCAACCCCAATATCCACATAAATATTCCAAAGAGCATCCAATTGTGAGGTTCAACATCATCGTTCTACATTAATGTTTAGCCCAATGTCTCGATCGATGAAGATGACGGCTGGCAAGTAAGATCTTACCAGTAAATGTTCACTGACCTTTTGTGAAACTGTAGTACTTCTAATGCCTTTAGATTCTGCAGTTTCTTTTAAATGACCATCTGCATTCAACACGTATGTCCTCATCTCTCCCGGCTTAAATTTCTTCCAGACTCGTCGGTTTGTGTGAGAAGCTTCATAGAAGATCTTAGTTGTGGTTATGCAATGGATGAGGAGAGAAGATAGCTTACATGGCAATAAACTCTTCATAAAAGACCCATGAGAGATCAGCACAATATGTACATCTCCCCTAGTCTTTTTCCGAAGACTCCATCCGAAAGTCTGCACAGCAGCGCCTTGTATATAAACCCCTTTCCAAAACCCGCCGCCCTTGCGTATAATCCTCGCGATCTTCAAAATCTCCTTTCGAACAATCTCCGCGCGCTGTTTCGCACGAATGGCATCTTTCATAGGTGGGATGACAGGTGACAAAGCAGTAAAGTCCACTCCCATTTGGTTATATTGTGTTTCTAACTCCAAAACTTCCTGGCGGACGTTACACAAATAAGCTCCAATCTCCCTTAAGTCGTCATAGGCAACGATTTGAAGTCCATGAGAAATACTGCCATTGGTGTTAGGAAAGACATAGAGAGTAGTCTCGATGGTACGAATGAGAGGAGATGTGAGGACAATATTGGGGACCGGACAGCATTTTGCCATCTTCTTTTGAGCAGATTTGGCTTGTTTTAAGCCTTCCTTGGTGAGGCGAGGATCGGGAATATTGTAGGATTCCGGATTGATTTTGCCATTGAAGTGTCCTAGGTTGTGGTACGCCTCTCCATGTCGCATAAGGTGTACAATTATCTTGATTTCACGCTTCGGTGCTGTAGGAGCAAAGCATTGCTTGATACGGGAGGAAAGTACCATTTTTGGGTGGAATCCGAAGCAATCTTACAATTAGATGTCTTTAGACATATAAATTAAGTATAAGCTGGAATTCCATAGGTATAGGCTGTGGAATGAAAGGTTAGCGCCGTGTAGATAATGTCTAGCTTGTATACTATGATTATTGAGGGGTAGAAGCACCATTGGTAGAAGAAAAAACGAGTTCTTTGGTTAGGAATTGCTTACGAATGTAAAATAGAAGTTTGTGAGCTCAAATAAGTTCTTAAAATCGGAGGTGGAAAGCTGAGAAGTAGCAATAACCAGAAATTAAACTTAAGAACGATCAAAGGAGCTGTGACTTGGGGCAGACAGTCCTGTTATTAATAGTGATTGAAACCGCCGTAAGGTCTTTGAAGTTGGTTCAAAGGGGGAAAAAGGTTACAACCGCAGATATAAAAAAGCAGAAAGCTATAATAATGTGATATTTGACGTCGAAGAGACTGTTTGAGATGCTGCAAGAAATATTAAAGGAGTCTAGAACTATCAAAGGCAGCTGGAAGCTGAAAGGGCCAAAAGAAATGTCGCAGTATTATCTCGAGCAATGAAAATTAATCTCGAACATGTGGAGGAAATGCTTATGGAAGTGCGGAGGTATTCCTCTTCGTTAATTCACCCTAGGCGAAAAGAATTTGAAATAGGGCAGTGAATCGAGCATAAAAACCGAGTGATAACCCAGAAAAAAACCAAACTTTTATTGCTGATTCCTGCGTCAATTAGCAAAAAGGCCCTCCACAGCATCGATTTTCTCAAATTAGCAAATCTGCACACTCCGCCAACCACCTGATTGATAAACTGAATTGTCCTTCTTCCATACGTCGTGTGCTGACACCAAGCAACAGAACTACGGAAAAGGGTTCCGAGACATTAAGTATGGACCGGATCCCATACGCACCGGGTCTCTTTTTGAGATGGGTAGGGTTTATATAGACTTGGATGCCATACTCCCTCTTCGAAAAATAGCCCCGAAGTGATATTGAACTCCAAACCAAAAACCAACAGAATGAATCTTGTTTCACCCAAGTTCGTACATCTTTTACGCACATAGTCGATTTTCGAAAGTGGAAAATTGAGAAGGGATATACACATTGAAGCGTGTTTTGGAGAAGTCGTGTCGTTATGCGCTTGCAGCTTATCCTGCAATTGCGCATGTTATGAGTCAGGGTATCTGGGGGGCATTGGTCCTTATATAGATGAATCAACAGTAGTCCATCAAAAGCTCTTTTTTGGTTCTAATACTTGATTTGAGCGTTCTTTAATACGAAATTTGAGCTGCATTTATCCTCATGAAGTCAAATTCTGACAATAAACGCTTTCAAGCAAATTTCATACATGCATCAAAAATTCTGCTTTGAACATTACTAAAACTATCTCGCATCACCAACCTTATTATCAAGCTCCATCAATTAGATACTCGTACTTCACAGACCAACCTCATATCATGAACAGACATCATCTCATTTATAAGCGAAGTTGTTTACTTCCTAGCCTTCGCCTTTGCCTTTGCACGCTCCAATGCGCTCTCGAGCAAACCTTGCTGCGCCGCCAACTTTGTCAAAATCGGCCTGATGGCACTGCCCTCACACTCTCCACCAAAATTGTCCACCACATTCCCGATCCTTCTTTCTAGCGTCTCGTCTCCTTCACTTCTCTTCCTAAAGTGAATTCCCGGCTTAATGGTAGCACAATTATATTGACTCTCTGCCGCTCTTATCTGACAGATTTCCTGGGTTGCGCAATCACCCGTGCAAGTCTCCACGTTATATCCTCTTGTTTTCCTGGAAATGTATTGGTTGAATACTGTAGGGTTTGCGGCGAAGACGGTGGTGAGATTGTGCCAGAAGGCAGGAGTTAGTTCTGCTGTGTCGGAGGTAAGAGCTGGGGTTACTAGAGGGCCATAAGCAGCTTTGGCAGAGTAGTAGGGCTTCCATGTGGGAACAGATTGTGTGGAGGCGGTGAGATCAAACTCCGCAATGTAGTTTGTGAAATCGAGGACGCCATAGGTCACTGGGTCAACAGTGTAAACTCGGAAGGTTGGGTAGCCTGAGGTTGGAGTCATAGAGGGGATGATATAGGATACTTCGAGGGCATTGGCTGCGGTTTGAGCGGTGTAGTCACTGTATGTGATTTGGAATTCATCGCGGTGGGTATGGCCTACTTCTGTTAGTGCGCAATAGGTAGAAAGGGCAAAGAATCTTACCAAAAAATAGAGCGGCGATAGTGGCGGAATATCTTTGGGTGATCTGGTTGAAATAGTTTGAAGTGTCATGGAATACATCGCTGGAGCCCATTGGCATATGTCCAATAATGTAAACTCTTTCGCCAGCAGTCTCAGCAGCTTGAAGTTCAGTGACCATCCATGCAAGTTGTCCAGAAGGATCTTTCTCCATGGTGGCTTCGTAGAGCCAATAGTTTGACCTGTAATAGAGATTAGTGTTAATAGATATAATCCTCAGGTTTGATCCCGGTAAGAGGGTCGAGTATGCACCGAAGCTATCGGCTGAGGCGGCAGCAGTGGGATCAATAAACGCTTTCCAGTTCGTAGAAAGAGTGTCATAGACCCATTGATAAGTCGAAACGCCAACTGCATCTGGAGGGAAAGAGTTGACTGGCGCCGATTCATGGTTTCCAGTGGCAGCAAATATTTTGGTTAGGCCTGACATTCGACTATAAGCATCGTTTATATCCGCAATGTTGGTAGTTGAATTAACGAGCCAGACAGAGCCTTCAACGATATCACCTGTGAAGAGTGTTGCTGTGGCATCTGGAGCAACCTCCTTGATAGCCGCGTACATACTCTCTTCCAAGCTTAGAGTAGCATCACATTTGTAGTTTCCATATTCACCCGCTGGATATGAGTTGTTTCCGGGTGCATCCGCAGAAGTATATGATCTACAGCAGATAGGCTTCGAGCAATTGCTATTAGCTCCGACTTCATACTCCCGATCCACGTGAATGTCGCTAAAATGTACAATCTTGATAGGCGCCTTGCCGCTCGCAGCTGGACGCTGAGTAGCAGGCTTAGCACTTGGAAATGGAACCGTGTATGGAGTAACAGCAGGAAAGTCACACAACCCAAAGAACGTTATGCAAAACAATTTGGAAGTTTGCGTTCCTATTGTCATTTGCCTCAGGTCATGGGCAATTATTGGTCCCTCCAGGCCGATTGCACCCGAACAAACATCCGCATCTTCGACCTTAAAATCACGTCAACACAAACATTCAACAAAAGGAAAGGGAAACTCACTCCAGCCAATTTGCATATTTCAGTCAAAGTATCAACAAAAGCGTCGTTTCCAAGATGCGCGACACCCTTTAGCAACAACAGTACCGACTATTACCAATTGTATTAGTTTTTCGCTCGACATGATAAGCTACTCTCCACATTGAAGCAAAGAGTTCCCAATGTACACCATGAAAAATAAACGAAAAGGAATCAGTAACTAAATGTATATTAAGCTACTTACGTTGCATCCGACACAAGTAGTCGCTGACTCAATAGATTTCAAGATATCGCTTCCCGTATCTTCTTTGACCAGTTCTGCAGCATAAGAAGATGAGAATATTGCTGCAGAACACAGATATAGAATTGAAAGAAACCTCATCTTGAATAATGAGTAGAAGTAAAGATGAGCACAACGGACATTTCCTAAGCACTTGGGAGTACCTTTTAACTTAAAACTTTCAAGTTAAAAGGTCGGTGGAACCTGATAAAGATGGTGGGTATCATTCAAATATTTCAACGTGATCGGAAACCGTAACCGTCTATGTGATGCTACACGAGATGATCTCTGGTTAAGCATTGGTCCATACTGACAGGATCAGCAGGGTTGACAGGGGCACCGAGGGAATGCTAAAAGATGTCCACATTGCCTGGCTAGGTACCTTACCTATACTTCGTATGATAGTTAAAACGCCAATGAGCAGGGCAACGAGCAGTTTCCTGACAAGGCTTCAATGGCTACCTTCCTGGAATCGACAATCTGCGCCGACGCAGACTGCTCATTTAAGGTTCTTCAACATGTCACCGGACCCACCTACCCCACGGTAAAGAAACGTCCCTTCTGGACGGATGCACATAACCAGAAGCTTGTTATCACGGTTCTAAATGAGTGGGCGAGACCAAAAGCTGCAGTAATATTGACTTGGATTCGTGTTGAAAGAACTTCCTATCTAGAGTGTCTCCACTAGAAAATACTACTCTGTACAAAAATCTTAGCAAATCAGTTGATACTTTAGCCTACTTCGGTGTAGTTAGATAGAAGGAACCTACACCGGTCAAGCTTATTTTAACGTTATTGCCCTGGTCCACAGCACTGTACATTTCATTTCAATGGAGAAGCCCGGAAAGGAAATGATGTTCAGTGTAGCGACCACACCGGTACACCATTACCGCTAGCACATGCAAATAAGCCTTCGCTTGGCGGATGAACCTAGGTCTACTTCATATAAATCCGTGGAAATTTCGGCCTTAGATTTTCCCCAAAAAGTTACTTTTAATTGACATTGATGAATGGATATAGAGATTGTGAAAGTATGTGAGGTGTTAATGGTCTGACAAAAGGGTTATGTAGTAAGGTAACGGATGAACGGCAAATAGGTCGTGCAAGCGACTCTATCAGCAGACGCGAACTGATTTCACATGAAAATCCTCGAAATGCTCATATAGACTCCCGAGGCTGTACATTTTCGACGTTGTTGAATATCAAAGCAGGACGATGATTACTATGGCCTTATAGTACCCAAATGATGGCTCATATCTATGAGAAGATTCTCGTGGAGCAACCTGGCTATCCTGCCATGGAAACAGACGGAGTTTTGATATAGACGAGTATGGATTATTATAATGTGTTGCTAGGCATTCGCAGCAGGAATAGTAGTAGTTGATGGAGCTCAAGATCGATGAGGTGGTGGTAAAACTGGAGATAAGCTCTACTTGTTTGTAAGTTAAGGGGACTTCTCAGTTCAATAGTTCATAGTACCCTTTAGACACTGTGTATATATAATACCCATTCTTCTGATGCTAAAGGGTTGAATGTGATCCCGAGATAAAAGCAGTGGTATAAAGCAGTGGTATTAGAATTAGAAGATTCCAAAAGAAGAAACCACCGGTAAACATAGAATGGAAGGACTAGTGCAGTACAATACAATACAATACAAAAAAATGCAAGTACAGTCAGTACTGGATCCAGATGGAGAATCGAGGAAGACTGCCAAGAGAGGCAAATGGACGGTTACCGTATCTAGCTCCATCAACCCCACTCGGAACAATAATAACCCGGATCCGACTTCCCTTACACCGCCCAAACCTTTTACTTGTCGGTGAGAGATTAAACTGGCATTACTCGAATCCTCAACTCTTCAACTCTTGTTGATTATTCTTGACTTAGGTTAATTCAGAAGCAGAGACAAGAGATCGACGCGATTAATACATCAATATGGGTCGCAAACCTAACCGTAAGTTCATCCCGTTCGAATTATCTCAATAGCTTCATTTTGACACTCTTGAAACCTCGAGTCATCCTCCACCGGTCTTTCATCCTCGTAAACAAGAATGTTTACTGACCATAAATACCAACAGCGTTGATCCTCAAGTACTTTGAAAGAGGTGCGAAGTTGAATGACTCCAGCAACCGCTACCACCATACCTGCAGAGCTTGCTCAGAAAAATTCCCCAAAGGGAGACTCGACACCTTGACAAGTCACATTTGCAAGAAATGCCCCGCCTTGGATCGCGCCCAAAAACAACGGCTCGTTCTAGAGTTTAATAATCTTCCCGAGATTGCTGATCGTACAAATAATCAGCAGATGAATATTCAGACTGCAAACAATCATCAAACAACTGCAATTCGTGGAAGACCGTTTCAAGGAATGACGCCCCTTGAAACTTTGGCTGAAGTTTCAAGAGACATGGCCGAGTCAGAGCATCGAAATCATCGACCTGGCAATGAAAGCCCGCAAGGTGATGGTCAACAATCAATGTCCCGAGGTGACAATCTTGAATTACAGGAGCAATACACTCTTGATAACCCGCCTCTGAGCTACGAGTCACGACCTCAGCGCGACAAGAAGGGTAAGTGAAAATGATAAATCAATACCTCGACAGAGTACTGACAATCTTGCAGGTATCAATCAGAAAAGTCACGGCAGTGAATTCAGTTTCGGTCGCTCTCAATCTGCCTCTCCGAACTCAATGGCTGCAACCGCGGCAGCTGCTTCCCGGTTCATTCCATCAATGGTGGACCCTCAACTCTTAAGCGAAGATGCGGTAGCGCAGGATAAAATTTCTGAGGACAAGCTAACCCGTCAACTTGTCGAGGCAAACGCCATGAGCGACGGTTTGTTCAATGGAAGCTCTGATAACCAACATCATTCTTGGGGTATGATGGAGGTTTCCATGCCAGCGAGTCAAGCCGCAGCGATGCAGGTTCAAGATCAAATGGCTCATATGGGTCAAATGACATATCCAGAGCATAACCCTACCGAGAATACGTTCGATAACGGCCAATCCCAAACACAGAGCCCAAAAAACCACGCTCGAATTGCCATGAATCCAATGACCACTGAATTTAGCGCTGAATATGGCAATGGCCAAAAAGCCACCAAACCCAAAGTCCGAGGAAAGTTCAATGAGGGCCGCAGAAAGGAGGTATCTGACATAAGGAAGATTGGCTCATGTATTCGCTGCAGAATGCTCAAGAAACCCTGCACTGCAGGGGATCCTTGTGATACTTGCAAGGGAGTCGAAAGTGCTCGTCTGTGGAAGACCCCATGCATCCGAACTCGGGTCGCACATGAGCTTTGCCTGTACTCAGCAAAACTCCACACAGTACTTGCTCACCATCAGGTTCTTGCCGCGAAGGCTTCGGCTACCTTTCAGAACTCACCATACCAGATTGAGGTCTCTCACTTTCCAGAAACCACAATTTACGCCTCCTTCCCGTGCTTAGAAGCACACGATTCTGATACCGGCCTCACTTCCTATATTCTCGACACGGACCATGATGATCTTTCGACCAAGCTCGAGGCATATGCTAAGCGTATGATGCCAATTTTCATTGATAATGAACCCTCTCAATTCGTTCGAACTACTCTCCAAACTGCTCTCAATCTTTCAATTCAAAAGCAAGATAATTTTCTGAGTCGTGCTTTGGAATTTTGGACAATTGTGCACATATTTGTTGATTCGGAAATCAGGTGGGAAATGTCTGCGAAGGCCATTTCAGGTTTATCAGATGAAGAGGGTGGTCAGACCAAATCAATTCTTTCAACTGAAAGATCATTTGCTATAATTCACACTCAGTTGAATGCTGCAGCCGAGAACAAAGCATCTCAAATGTGCAAGGGTATACTGAACGAGTTGGAGAGACGTTTGCTTAACAAGGCTTCAAAGTCTTCTTTTGAACTGTTTTTGGTTGCCGTCATTACTCTTAACTGTGTTGAGAAGTCCACCTGGCTTTTTAAATGCTGGGAGGGAGAAGATTTCCATGGACAGTGGCCACTCGACAAGCCTCCTCAACATTTTGCTAATCAAGGTGATGACCTCATCAATGTTCTTCAAATGATCTTGAGAATGAGAGAGGTTCCACCAAAGACTTTTGTTCGACAAGACAATGGTGTTCTTGCAGTTGATGATATATCTGAACAAGTTGTCAGGGAATTCTTTGAACAAATTCAACTTAGTTGTTAGTTTCTCTTCCTTGATCATCTCTATACAATTACTAATCTATATAAACAGTTACCGAAGTTCATGATAAACAAGTTCGGTACTTCTTCGATCCAGCAGACTCGAGATCATACGAGCTTCGCTACATCTCTCGACTCCTCCTCCCTCAAGTTTCTAATTAGAGGAATTTCTTCTCCTCTCACTCACTCACTTTCCTTTCAATTTCTGCATTTCGTGCGGCCAAATCTGCAGCATTTTCGGCGTTTCACGGCTTCCATACAGAGGGGCGTATCGCATAAAGATTCATGATTGTGCATATGGGTGGATAACTTTCTCTGTTTAGGGATCGGTTAAGGTTATGATCAGCAGGGAGTTTGTGGTGCAAATTGCTCAACTATTGTCTTTGAATATATCCCAATTTTTCTTTCAAAAATTCACATTGGGAGGTTTACTCACTTCATATCTGATCAATCATCTGAAGCAGACACAGGGCTCATATCAATGTACCTTGTTGCTTTTTCCCTTCTTCTTTTTCTTTTTTTTGGCGCTATACTTCAATACACATAGCTGGTTTTCAGCGATACAATACTATGTTTTTGGCACCTATTTATACTTAAGACAGAGTAGGACATTTATTTGTCCGACCGAGCTGCAAGTGATGTTCAATGAACAAATGATAAATCTACAAAAATGATTGTAATATATGGTGTTATATTTCATGTTATGAATTTATAAGTAATCAACCCCAGATTCTTTGCTTCTTCCTCCAAGCGTATTCGAGTTTATCATATATAACATAAGATTATATATTTGACGTCTTGTAGATAGAAGCTAGAATATGATTATTCTTAATATCTCTAATAGATATATAGATATGTGTATATAGATATAGATTTCTTACTCAAACTAGATACTTCTATTTCTAATCTAAAACCAAGAAAGGAAGTTCTTATTCTTCTTTACATAGCTTCCCTTCCCTTCCCTTCCTCCCCGAGGAGTGAATATCGCAATACGTTTTTATAGCTACACACCTACTTCTCCTACATACTTACATACTTATCTACGAACATCGATTTACCATGCCCTTTTTAATACATACATATGCTACGCCCCTATTTACATATATCTGAACTTTGAAAACTTTCTACGAGTAGAATAGTAAGTACACCAGGTAGAAGTAGAAGAAAAATATGCACCTGGTTCATTCGAATTCGGCAGTTTCGGACAATTGGAATACCTAGACTACATATATCAAATCAAGTCTCTCTGGGCACTAACACAACACAATACATCAAGCACAGTTCACTCATCATACAAGATGCATCAATATTAAAGCCATATCTCATATTGTCATCAAAATAACATGAATTCCACGCTTCTATTTACAGCCCAAAGTATCTTGCGCCTTTTCATTCATGGCTCATCTTCATCATTTCTCTATGCCATCACAAATCACATCATACAATCATCTATAATCCATAACCGTAGTAAGAAAAGTTATTTAACATCATCCCTCTGGAAATTGCCCATCCCTTCACTAACTAGTCCATACGACCACATAAAAGGCCCCAAAATATACTCACCCATATTATCCCAACTCCGGTCCGAAGGTGACCACTCGGCTTTTTCGTTCGAGCTTTTTCACCACGCTATGACTACTTTCTGGCAAGGAAAGGAAATCTTCGCCATCCGCCGGCCTAATTGCTATGCCGTTGCAACAACTGAAAATGAAAGTCGGATATGAAGACTCTCTTTGAGTGTATAATGTTTTTCAAAAAGAAAATATCTAACCACTATATTGAAACCTAGTGGCTTCAAGTCGGCCTAAACCATCCCTAGGAGCAACATATCGTCTCCGATAAGTGTTGGTAAAGTCTTGCAATAAGCTTCGAACTTTTCGGACACCATCATGACCGATGCTAAGCTTTTCTCGAATGCTGTTCATCAACCGATCGATATCGGCTTCCCTGACGGTTCCAGCTGGCAGCATGCGTAGAATCCCGTCGACCCAACTGGTAGTTTCTTGCGGTAGGATTTCAAACAAACCGAGTAAAACGCCACTGCCATCAGTAAAGCAGTCTCCTGGAAAACTAATCATCATGCCTTTCATAATTCCTTTCACTAACTCATTGCCGTTAGCAAGAATAAGCTGCCGGACCAATTGCTGAATCTCGGGCGGATTTATGTTAGATGCTGAACTTGAAGGATTGTCACCACCGTAGCTGATGACATCACGGAGATAGTGCAGAACTGCAGAGAGAGGTTCGCGTTGCTCGAGATCTAAGGCAGCTATGGCTGCCCTGAAAATTGGCGTGAATAGCTGCGATCGGATCATTTTATGAGGGTAGTATAGTAAGGCGTCAAGTAAGAGACGATAGAAATCCTCGATAACATCGGGGAGATCTTGGGGTGGAAGATCAGCCATTGCCTTCAGCATCGCTGTCGATTGGGCTTCAAAGAAGGTGTAGATTGATTCTGTCGTTTGTTCGTCGACGTGCTCTCGATCCTCGGAAAACTCACGCAAAATAGCACTCGTGACCCACAAGAAACAGCCCTGTCGGGACGCTGCGAAGCCTTCTGCTAGTTTGTTGGCCATCTGGGGAAGGAGAGGAGCCATTGATGTTCGATATGATATGATCATATATCTCCATGTACGGCAAACTCTCTCACAAATTGGAGTGAAAGTCATAAATGAATCTAAGATAGTCGATAAAATGGGGAAGATCTCTTGGCAGTATTTTACAGCTGGATTGTCCTGATTTGGCTCAATCCAAGGACTAACGATCTGTATAAATAATGTAATCAGTTGCATATGATCTAGATTCTTGTCAGTAGATTTCGGTAAGCTTTGTCGGAGATGACACTGACCAGCAACTTTAAGTTTTGAATCGTCATCGTTGGCTTGATTTGCCAGGGCCATCAGCCTAGCCATCAATGGGTCACAATATAATTTAAGGAGTTGATACGTTTGTGTTGGTGGTTGAACAGCAACAACAGATGCAACACCTTCCGTGAGTTCTTCCTGACTAACTCCTGGTAACTTGTCGAGAGTCTGGTCGTAGAACTGCTGCAATTGTACTATTTGGCCACCGAGTAAGTGTTTGCAATCACTGCAAAAGAATTTCATCGCCATGGCAGCTGCTCGGACAATTTCCTTAGAGTCAGTTGAGAACGAAGATACAATATACTGAAATTGAGACTCAAGAAATTCGGGATGATTAGATGTCCATTCCGTATAACGACCTAATACCATGATAGTCGCAAATCGAAGTTTTTCGTGATGAGGAATTTGAACCAGGAGAGGTATGATCTGAGGAAGTATGATGTCCTCATCTTTGTCGACCAATCTTCCCATCGCACGCATTCCAAAGAGAGGTGCTTCAAGTTGTTGCCAATGTGGAACAGAGGCTTCAGTCGCCTGGCTAGCGTAAGAACCCATCCAGAACTTAATAGCATCGTAAACTTTTGTGAGACACGGCGTGACGCCCATAATCTCACAACAATCTTTGAGGACGTCCCCCATATGGTGGCGGAATTCCCGAAACTTTTCCTCTGCATCTCTATCACCATCGAACAAGTCCGTTTCATCCGCGCTATCTGCTGTAGGAAATTCCAGATGCTTCATCATAATATCCACAAGGCTAGAGTATACATCCACGTATTGCATACGAGCTTCGATGTACTTCTCGAGGATGAGATAGAGTTTGAGCTCGTACCAGAAGATGAAAGTAAGGGAAATCGCATCTTTATCAAAATCTCTGTGAGTACATTCCAAAATAGCCTCGACCAAAGGTCGGAAAACCTTAGGCTCACGGGCAATAAGGACAACCCATGCTTCACCAGCTTCAGCAAAAACGCGAGTAAAGCCTTTAAATGACTCCGAATCTTCGTCTTGGGCAGCTTGCGCAATACGAGGCTGAAGCGCCAATACACGAGGCAAAAGTATCTCTATGGTAGGCATATACTCGTCAACCTCACGAGTCTCCTTAAATATAGAACACAGACATTCTGTTGCAGCTTCGAAAGAGCGGTCGTTATTCAAGGCATTGAGGATTACCGGCAGAAGAGGTGAATTCACTATATCGGCAACAGGTACTTCGCGTAACCAAGATGTGATGACTTCAAGTAGTTGTGGATTTGTAGCGGCCGATTCTGTGATGCTTCTTAGCCTTTTGACGTTATATTTCAAGGAGACTGATACGTACCAGACGATTGTGCGTATGCAATCAACAACTGTACAACTTGAGCGGTATTGTCTCCCAATAGTTCCTGAGTTCTCTGTTGAAGCTCATCTTCCTAATTGACGCATTAGACTTGAATATTCCCAATAACATTTCGACCACCCCAAGTCGGTTTCACCTGTTCCGGGAATGGTGTGTTTCGGCCCACATACTGTCAAAGTAATTTTTCGTCCCTCGGTGACTTCTTCTGGGAGAACTTTCAAGAAATCTAGGACACAGGCGAGACTTTCTGCGGAGCTCCCCAATGTTGATACAACCATTGGCACTACATCCTTCCAGGTTGTCATCTGGATAGCTAAAATGGCCAAGCAAACGCATAGTTGGATTCGAATCGGTCGTGGCCCTGTCGCAAACACTTTCAATAACTCTAGAAGTTGATTTCGTAGCGCTGGTAAGGAGTCGCTTGGTATTTGTTGAATGTCATAGGTGATCTATAAGATTAGATTTGAATCCAGAGAGGTGGGGTTCGTGATCATATACCTTTCCTCTCAAAGTAGTAGCCGCGAAGAGCTTCGCATCAGGCTCCGCATCTGAAGATAAGATGCCAATCGTAATCTGCCATGCCTCTCCCTATAAGAAAAAGTGAGCCTGCGTCAGCGACAAATGGGTTTGGCGCAAAGGTGTCGAAAAATAACCTACCGACTTCTGGAAACTCTCTAGAAAACTATGTGCGGCCTCCTTTTGTCCCCGCTCACCATCGCGCATGGTATTTAGAGCCGCAATAACAGGAGTGAAGGCGCCCTGGGGGCCAGTCCCGTTCGTAGAAACAGTGACCATCTTGATAGAGGGGCAAGGCCTTAGAGACAATAACAGATTAAATGCGTGATGTAGTCATGTACACTTCGTAAGTTTATGGTAGAAAAAGTTGCCGAATATGAAAGTATCGAGAAAAGAGTAATTAAGGGTATCAACAATAGGTTATGAAATTTTGGTGGTTGTGGTTTTTTCTTGGAAAGAATCAGAATGTTCTTTTGTTGCAAGTAATGAACAGGGTGAACTTGTCTGCCCGTTTAAGTTGGTTGCTGCAGCGAAATAAAGTTTTAGTGCCGTTTCGAGCGGCAGCCTTGTGAAAGAAGCTTAAGGTGCACGTCAACCAACCGCGTCGAGAATTTTAAAGATTTGACCAGGAGTTTAAAGGATTCAAACCCAGCTCTCTCACCACTCACTCAATCTATCGAGAAATTCTTTTTGTCCTCAAGGGCCGTGTTTAAAAGCCTTTATTTCAACAAAGTTCAATTAAAATTCATCATGAATCGAGGTGGTGGAGGTGGCCGAAAGGTCCTTCTTCCCCCAATCAACTTCATCTTCAAGCTTCTTCAACAGCATACGCCAGTATCAATTTGGTTGTACGAACAATTGGGAATTAGAATTGAGGGAAAGATCAGAGTACGCGCACAAAATTCCCCTACTCGGTCATGATATTTTACTAATCGATGGGCTTCCAGGGCTTCGACGAATTCATGAATTTGGTGCTCGATGATGCAGTGGAGGTTAAGCAAGCTACAAAGGACAAAGCAGAGAGCCGTAGGGCGTTGGGTTAGTTTTTGGATTATATGAGTCTTGAAAAATAGTTTACTAATAAGGTCCAGGACAAATTCTATTGAAGGGTGATAACGTGTCGTTGATCCAGAGCGCAAGTGGATAAGATACCTTGGGAAGGCGTACATTCAGAATGGGTTATTATGAGAATAAAAAGTACTGCAAGGCCTGCAAGATGAGTTCTAAGGGAAGTTCTTCGGTCATCTGGCTTCATATCGAGTTGTTTATTTTGAGGTGGATCTATTCTCTGGAAACAAGACCATCTTTAATTTCACTATCTCCCAAGAAAAGTCCGTGGAGGAGGCTATCATGCTCTCCCACTGGCACTGATTTTTCTGCTCCAGGCTTCAAGAATTGCTCCTGAAGAGCCAAACCATAGAGTAATACATTTGTTCCTGGATTCGCTGGATCGGGAATTTGTGAACCTGACTGCTGCCTGTATCGATGCAAGAAGTAGTCGTAGAACCCTTTTCCATGACCAAGGCGTCTTATAAAATTGGTTTTAGGATCAATGTCAAAGGCTACCCCAGGCAAGAGTATCATTTCCAAGCCACCTTTGCTCGAAACAGTCTCCAATATACTTTCTCTTTCACCTACAGTCTCTGCAGGGATTGTGGGTATCCCCCAACTATCTCTTTCCAGGGCTTCAAAATCTGCAAGGCTACGAAGGTCCACCATATCCATTACAGAACGGGGTGTATCAGGTGACAGGGACATAGATTTATGTAGGTAAGGTACGAAGACCTGCTTGCCAGATTCCAAGGCGTGACGTACAATTGCATCAGTTTGTAATTCCCCAGTCGGCATAGCAAGATATACCGCTATTCGTTTGGCCCGTTGATATGGTTTAAAATTGATGAGTCTGTGAAAGACAGCCGTACCTAAGTACATTAATGAACTGGTAGTATATAAATGTGGAAGTAATATCTGAGTGCCACCTAGAATACTTACTTTGAGTCTGCACGGAATCATCTGTAACTGTCGATAGAAGCTTTTTGATCGATGAACGAAGCTCTTTTTTACTTGACTTCAGTGCTGCCGATGAAGCCATGTTCGATAATGTGTGGAAACTGCTTTTGGGCCAATCATTGACCAGCTCTCCTTAATAATGGAAGCTTGAAACAACTTCAGAAGCCTATTTAAACTAACTTACCACAGCTTATTAATCAGCGTGATAATGAAAAAATAACAAGCAGCAGAATAACTAGCAAGTACTATTTTTAACTTTTTTCGTGGCTGTTTGCGGTGGCGCCAACCATAAGTGTGGCTAAATTAATTAGCGGGTGTTACGAATTCCAATCCCTATATGGAAGTTCATGCTTGAAATACAAATCCTTAGCATCGACAACTACAATTCACAATATGGCACCAATCGTTCTGCCTACAGTATTAATCGCGAGCGCATATTTACTGTCAACTGTGTCCGCCGCTCCAAATGTCGATGAGCTTGTTGGAACATGGTCTACAAAGTCCGCCGCAGTGTTGACTGGTCCTGTACGCTTTTTCCCTTGGATTGAAGAGACGACCTTTAAGATTATTGATGGACACGCACTGATACTGAGGATTAGGGTTTCTATAATCCAGTTAACGATACTTTGCTGGAACCTACCCATACCGGAATGTCATACTCTTTCACCGCAGACGGCTACTATGAAGAGGCATACTACAGAGCGATCTCAAATCGTATGTATTGTTTCACGACATTGGAATTACATCAGAAAGTATAAGAAGAGCATAACTAATGATATTGTAGCTGCAAAACCTAGTTGTGTGTCTTCGATAATGCAATGGCAGCACGGCAAATTCGTTCTGAACGACGATGGCTCTCTTAGTTTGAACCCGTTCAGTGTGGATGGTCGTCAATTAGAATCTGCTCCATGTACTGCTGATACTGCAACGTACACACGATACAATCAGAGCGAGAAAATGCAGGTTTGTTTGTGCCTTTCCTTGTTATCCTGATTATCAATATGTGGATGATGAATAAAGCTGATTGCTGACTGCCTACCTTGTAGAAATACCAAGTCTACACGGATCCTTATACGAAATTAACTCGACTTGATCTTTACCAATTCGATGGAACACCCGTAAACCCGATGTTCTTAGCCTACAGTCCTGCACTTATGCTCCCTACCGAGACCCTCAACCCGACAACTTCAGCGAAGTCAACTTCGAGCTCCAAAATGAAGCGATGGTTGGGTGGAAATGATGAACCCGAAGAGCCTACGACCTCGGAAGGTTATCTTCTTCCTCTCAACAAGAATGCCAAGCATATCAGTCGCGGCATTGAGCAACCTTCTCTCATCCACCGCATCGATCTCGACCTTCTTTGGTGGGCTGGAGTAGGAATGACCATTTTTGGAGGCGCAGCGTATCTATTATAAGCACTTGGAGATTGCACGGTAGACTGAGTTTTTGAATGTTTGTATATTTGAGGGATTGAATTACGAGGCAAGGCATATATATACCAATGGTGTCTGTAAACCAGGCACAGGGAGTTTTTGAGGGGTTCCGTTTTCAGGGATACAAGTGTTTCTTGGCAGGTTGTAATGTTACATCAGTACTCAAGCCAGGGCGTTGAAATCTTTCCATTGCACGGATTATAATTGTTAGAATTTCATTTTTTTCTTCTATTCAATGTTAGAAATGTGACATGGAACAAAGAATCAAGTCATGCGTCGCAGGCTTTTATCTTTCATGCTGGATTGACCCTGATGTGGGCAACTTGTTGATCATATCTAGATTGTGTCAAGTATCTCTTTCTAAAAGCTCCTAACAAACCCTACAGGAGGGGTTTGCGATCTCCATCCGTCGCCAGTTTCTATTATGCACAATTCTTAGATTAGTTCGTATTATTATCCAGCTCAGGAAGTAAAACAGCTTCCCCAATCACCCCCTTCACTAGCAAAGCTCAAACTCTCTACAAACTTTGACAATCCACATCTGCCCAATTTATCACCACCACAGGTCTTTAATGGCAGCACGCGATCATTAACGATAAGTCTAACCAACTCCTCACTCTCACCCGCACAGGCCATCTTCTCCACATACATCCTCGCTGCAAATGGTACCGACCAACTCGCTGAATAGCCATTCGTTTCCAACACATCTTCTCTTCTGGTTTCGGATAATGCGCTTGTGGAATTATATAGACCAAGAGCGGAGAATATAGCAGTCATGTCATTGTCGTGGCTGAAATCTGCATATAGTTTAATGGAACTGTCAACCGGGAACGTGGCCGGATTGTCATCTAAGGTGTGGTTTGTGGAGGTATGGTCTTGGACGGGACTGTTCGTGAGGCGGGCAATAAGCTCGTTGGTAAAGCCTACGCCTTGTGTAGGACCTAATGGATTACCCCAGGAGAACCCATAGTATTTACCGAGGGATTGGTAGTAGTCGTAAGCTTTCCATTCGGCTGCGCTGAAGATATTGCAAAATGGAGAGATGATGCCGGTGGGAGAGGCGACAGTATTGAAGGGACAAAGATCCATAAATTCGATGGTGTCAGCCATGGTGAGGTTGGCGCCAGGGAGATTAGAGTTTAGACGAGAGGTGATTTTTGGGGTGAAGATTGACGCCCATGTAGCTTGGGCAGAGTTTCCAATGGTGGAGTCAGGTCCGTCCTCGAAGGTGGTACAGAGACCATGGTCGAGAGTGTTGTTGCTTCCTTTATCTTCACTGATAATGACAATATTGAATGGGTAGCTAGCATTGGCCGTAGATGATGAGTCTGACAAACGAGCAGAATGGAACCCTTGGGTCCAGTTTTGGGCAGACTCAACAACACGATCTTGTCCTGAGGAACGAACAAATGGAGTGATTGACGATGCCAGGGACTTGTACCGATTATAGTACTTAATACCCGAGTTGATCAATTCCTGTTGTCCAAATACGCTAAGCTGATCAGATCCTAAAGAATACTCGTACTTCTTTATGAAAGTATAATCGGCTCCATAGGAAGTCGTGGTATTATGGATTTTGTCTATGAGAGCCATATATTTTACTGTCTTGCCAGCTGTTGGATCCCGTGCTCCGTGGCGAGACAAGATCTGAGCAAATGATATTTCACATTGATCAGGGACAGAAGCACTGATCTCCGAGGGAACTGAAAAATAAGGCGAATATTGACCCCAGAAATGTGAGATCTCTGGTTGACAGTAGTATCCAGCATTGATACTATCGCACGACGAGTGGGTTGGTAGCCCGTAGCCTCTATAGCACTGGTTAGCAAAGAATATGAACACTAAGGAAAAACTTCACGGCCAAACATACACCGCTCCAAAATAGACAAGTCCCAACACAACAGCCGCGGCAATACCCATAGTGATCACTTTTCTCCTTGATCTTTTCCTGAACTTCGTCAAATGCTGCTCTAAAGTCTGGACAATATCATCCGAATCTCTGCTAGTAACTGGATCTGATTCTTCAGATGAGGGTAAAGGCTCATATATATAACTTCCACGGGAGCCAGTCATAATTTGCCGCACAGCAGCACGCTTTAATGAACGCTTCATCCTTACGGCTCTTCTTTTCCACCTGCACTGAATAGGAAATTTACACGCTCAAATTGGAAGGTCCCATTCGACAAAATGTTACTTGACAAGGAGAGCTGATGTTGACATTCGCGACCCGGTACCTGTAGCTTTTTTGTGGTACGATTTCGGAGCTAGTACTAAATACTTTTTTTTCTCTTTAGATTTTCGTATCTTGAGGTTCAGATCAAAATCCGACTGGCAAGTGTCGTTGATGCGTTTCACCACGTGCGATGATCCCCAAGGATGTTGAAGTTGAACTGCATATTGACCGAGTCCAAGCTTCCGCGTAACGGGCTCGTGTAATTTATGTTGCCACGTGATACACCACAAGCGGGTGAAAACATTCCAAGCTCGGGTCTGTTCTGCAGGAACCGGAGGAGAAATTGAATCCTGGTTTCGTGCATCCAAAGTTCGACATTGTTGTAAAGAAATATAGAATAGTAGTAGTAATAACTAACAGACAACAGCCTCAATAGTTCAACAATATGTTTCAACGTATAAAAGCAAAATTTCCCCGAGTGATCTTGTGCGATTTGGTATTTTATGAACAGTGCAGGAATTTATGCACATGATGGTACAGTCTATACTCCCTTAAACTGGGTATCTATTGTATCTACAAACGGCTGATAATTGCTCCAGCATACTCATGGGTTTTAGACTTGCCACCCAAATCACCAGTCAAGGTCTTTCCTTCCGCCAAAGTATCGAAAATCGCAGTCTCTATTCTCTGTGCGTGTTCGTTCAATCCCATGTGTCTCAACATCATGATGGAACTGAGGAGAAGAGCGGTAGGATTGGCAAGAGCCTTGCCAGCAATATCTGGTGCAGATCCGTGAACAGCTTCGAAGATAGAGCATTCATCTCCAATGTTGCCAGAAGGAGTAAGACCAAGACCACCAATAAGACCAGCGCACATATCCGATAAAATATCTCCGTAAAGGTTAGGCATAACCAAAACTTTGTCGTTGTATGGAGTTGGGTCCGTAACAATCTTCAGGCAGGTATTGTCAAGTAATTCAGAGTCAAACTCGACGGCAGGGAAATCCTTGGAAACTCTGTTTGCGGTACTCAAGAAGAGACCATCGCTCATCTTCATGATCGTAGCCTTGTGGACAGCTCGGACCTTCAACTTGTTGATATCCTGGGCATATTGGAAAGCAAATCGTAGAACACGCTCACTAGCCTCTCTTGTAATGAGCTTGATGCTTTGTACTACTCCATCTACCACAACGTGCTCGATACCGGAGTATTCTCCCTCAGTGTTCTCTCTAATAAGAACGGTGTCGACGTTGTCGTAGGGTGTCTTGTATCCTGCGATTGAGCGACATGGTCGAACGTTGGCGAAGAGGTTGAAAGTTCGGCGAAGGGTAAGGTTCAAAGATACATGTCCTTTACCGATAGGAGTCTAATGTAGATTAGTACCAGGCTAGAGAATTATAGATGGGCTAGACATACAGCCAAAGGACCCTTCAAAGCGACCTTGTTTCTGTTGATACTCTCGATAGTCTCTGCGGCAATAGTGGTCTTTCCGTCTCGGAGTTGCGGGGTAACATCAACTGGCTCCCACTTGATAGGTGCCTTAATCCAGTGTCAGAGTTGACTCGAGATCGTTCGAATATTCTCCTTACCTTAGCGGCCGAAAAAATGTCCTTCACAGATTGCGAAATCTCAGGTCCGATACCGTCACCCTCAATCAAACTAACTGTGTAGAGTCCCTTAGAGAACGTCAGTTGCTATATCCCCAGAAGCTATCTCCATATTCAATTGTATTCCTTTTCGTTCTATTATAGGGTGTGCAGCGTTGGAACAATCTTCTCATCGCTTGGGATGTCTTACATCTGGACCCTTCTGGCCGTGGAACTGGGCGATCTTGGCTTTCTCGGTGGCATATTGGCGGCGCGCCTGTAGTGATAAATAGTGAGCATGTGCAAAGAAGTTTGAATATGCAATAGCTGCATTGCAGCGGGAACTAAGTATATTCTTACCTGGACAGCGACTGGTTTCCAAGCACGTGAAGATACTTGAATGCACTGTCTGCGCGCGGGAGCGCCAAATGATCTAATTGCTAACATACTGTCCGCCAAATTTATTCTCGCCAAATTTCGCAAGAATTTATTGGAAGAAATAGGAGCAGAGAGTGTAAGTAGGCCAAATATGTTTAGAGATAGAAGATTTAAAGTCGGCTAACTTGCGGAAAGTTGCTTTTTTCCTCAAGTAAGAAGTTGCTTCCTTGGATTCCGCGTTCCCACTTTCAGCCGTTTTGCCCCGGGCTGTCGGCGCCTGATATCGGTAATCCCCGACTTGCGATCCTTGGGATTGATATTCACCTAAAACATTGAATGTAGCGACTTTGAACTTCGACATATTAAAGCTACAATACATTTTATAAAATTTGAACCACTAATGTCTGACTTTGAGATCATTAATCGTTTGATGCAGTGTTAGAATTTATGAACCAATACTCGAGGTATTGTTGCGACAACCTCGAATTAACCACAATTCAATATGACGGACATGGAAAGAACTATTTTGGATCATTACCAACTTTCATCTCCATATCCCACAGAATGGCCGGCAGATAAGGACACGAGTGATGCCTCGGATGAGGATGATGAAGCTCCTAAGTCAAATCAGAATGGTTCAAAGGCAGCAGCTGTGGCGCGCAGAAAGTCGAAATACTTCGCGCTCGAAAAAGCTAGTGATCGCAAAAGTCTCATTCCCAATTCACAAAAATCAGGCGACGGAGTAGAGAACTTGGTTCAGAGGGACGAGCCAGATCCTTTGGGAAGTACCGATAGTGTTGTTAGAGTTCTTCGGCAGCAAGGTCTACCTGTGCAGGATGACATAGCACTACGTTGGCACCTCTACCCCTTCTTTCATACTGCCACTGACGGTACCAGGTAATAGGTTCCTCTTGTCCTCTACAACATTCTCGCCGGCCTTATTTTTGTCGCAAGTTCATTCTACCGCCTCCACGCAAGACCTTTTACGAGGACTAGATCTTCTCTCTAGATCAATTGACCAGAAATCCGCTTCCCTGAAGGTCCTCGTCGAATCGAACTTCGAACGCTTCGTGCGTGCCAAAGCCACAATAGATAATGTTTATACTGAGATGAAGTATCGAGGGGCGGAGCCACCCTCAGCTTCCCGCGCTAGACCTCATTCCCGCCACGCCAGCAGAAGTAGTTTTCGAGCGAGTAGTGGTAATCAGATTGGAATGACGACACCAGCGCCTTTGGATGTCAGGAAGAAGAACGCATTGATGAAAGAAAGCGAGTACGGTGTGCTTGGAATTAAAACTCCCCTTTTAGATGTCTCAGCAAAGGCAGAAGAGGTTTGGGGCCCGGCATTAGGTGGAAGAGAGAAGGAGGATAGTCTGAAAGTACTGGTTGGAACCGTTGATCGCTACAAAGAATATTATGAGGTCAACGCTGTTATTACCGAAAGTATCAAGCGGAAAGATTATGAAAGTATTGTCGAAGAATATACAAAAGCAAGACGGTTTGCGGATGATGCAAAGAAACTCACCGAAACATTAGGAAATACACCGCCCACTGATCCTCAGATACACCAGATCCTTCTGGCTGCCCGCGTATGGCACGATGTTGAATCGCAGATCGAGGAATTTAAACGCGATATGTGGAAGAAGTTATCACTAGCACAAGGCTCTAGCAAAATGGATGGATTCATGGGCGCTCAGCAGGATCAACACATGGAACTTATTAGCATATTACTTGAGTTAGGGGTCACGGATAATCCTATCTGGGTTTGGTTACTGAGTCGTTATGACCACCTTAAGGTCAAAATCCAAACAACTTCGGACCGCGCAAAAGTAGAGATCGAAATTCTACGACGGAGATTAGCTAGTGCTGAAAAGCCTGCATCTCAAATTATAGCCACTCATTTGCGGTCGCTTGGACGCCAAATTGTAGACAACAAACAAGTTTCGGTAGATTCTCCTGACATCATCGAGCTGTGGGAGAAGATGGACTCTTTCCTTCATAGCATGATCTCCGCAGAAGGTATTCTTGGCGAAGTGACAGAATATTGGCAGACTGTTCAAGGTTTCATCGATGGTAGGACACAGAAAGCTTTACCTGTAGGTATAAATGGAAAGTCTCGAGAGCATCATAGGCTTTCTGATGAGAACATTATCGAATTGCAACAAGGGACAGTTCAGCTAGTTGATACGCTTCGGGAAAGTATATATGAATTGTTCGTCGATCCTCCAATTGAGGATATATCAGCATTGTTTTCACCTCTACCGCCTACGCCACGCACACCAAGAACGGCTGATTCGTTGACCCCGTCTGCCCTTCGAGGTTCCCGGTTTACATTTGATCCCAACAACCTGCCACCTCCATCTCCGAAACGAGGTGAAGCCTGGGAAAAATTTGCATTCTGGCCGCCGTGGTCAAACTCGGCCAGTGGAGTCCATTATCTAGCCAAATTCGTGACCCTCGTAGGTTCTGGTGCAAGCGAGATGTCGGGATTATATCCCGTGGCTAATGGAGATGGTTCAGTTTTGGAACGGCTGAAGTCACTTGTTGGAGGGATGCGCGAGAGATGCGTGACTGCGATACTCGCAGCATGGAATAAAGATGCCGAAAATATCAAAGTCTTGGAAGATTGGAGGCGTTCTCCAGACAAACGAGATTTGACCAGGATGCCAGCCAATTTTAGTGCCTTCGAAAGTGCAATCCTCATAGGCATGCAAAAGATCCTTTACATCTCTGACGCATCAATCAAGCCAGGCTCGGCCGACATTGTTCTCCCTCCACCAGCAAAGCTCTTGCAAATGGTTCGTAGTCAGTTTGTGACCACTCTTTATAAAGCGTTGAGTGGGATGGTAGAGAACGCAGAAAGATCTATCAAAAAAGCAGAAGATGATTGGACTACTGATACGGATGGTTTGGCAACTCCTGTGGCTATGGTTGTTGCTACAAGCATGGGTTCTGGAACTGTCGATGCTAGTGACCGCGTAAGTCAAATCTCCCGCTGTCAGAACTTAATTAATTTCTCTAGAATGTTCGCATGCTTTTGACTCTGAGCAATCTGCAGGCCCTTCGTGTTGATGTTGTTCCAAATCTTACAACGCAGTTTGAGAATGCCTTTTCCGTCAAGCTTACAGAGGAAGCTAAGACAATAAGAGATGTCCTCGGCCAAATTGATGCTCGTCTCTTTCAATCTTATACCAAACCTACTGTTGAGACTCTCCGCAACATCGTGCGTCGTGGAATTCTAGCACCGGACTGGGCGCCAACGGAACAGCCAAAAGCAGTTCGTCCTTACGTATATGAGGCTCTATTATGTCTTGTTATCGTCCATACCCAAGTATCCACAACTGCCTCTTCCCTCACTGGTCAAGTACTCTCTTATCTCTTAGAGCAAGTGTCTTTGGAATTCTTGGAGGCTTTCAAACAGCGCCAACGCTTTCCGCTCAATTCTCTTATTCAAGCTACTCTTGATATCGAGTTCGTGGCACAGACCATGAATCAGTATACAACAGAACGAGCAACCGAGACTTCAAGTCAGATTTACCAGGAGTTGGATAAGGGAACAGATGGAGAGGCAAGGGCAAAGTTACAAAAAATACTGCCAGGAATGAGAGGTGATTTGAAGAGATTAAGGGAGGCGAGTAAGGGTGAATTTTCTTGCTTCAAGAAAGTAAGGAGTGGTAATAAAGCGGATAGGACGACTAGCTCCAGTACCCAAAGTATAGCTTAGACAAAAGATCGAATAGATGTTAATTATTTCCAAACATACTTTATAATGATACCGGTCACAGTTCATAGAATCCTGGACGATCTAAAATTCCGTAAATCAAGAAAGGCCGATGATTCATTGTTAGCCGTCAAGAAGCCTGTATTAAATATCTCCTCATTGCATCTTTTCGACATATTTGGAAGATACTGGTGGCTTGTCAGTGCAGTCAGAAGATTGATGGTTAGCTAGGTAAGTAAGATAGAGGTGATATTTGAGCGAGTAAATGTGAATGTCTACTAATCCATGTAAGCATAGCTTCATCCTATTAGTCTTTTTAGCGTTTTCTGGCACGCGTGTGGCAGATGTTCTCAAATAGCTATCGAACGAGTAGAGGTATCGCTGTCATGTAAGATTACATTCTGGATAAAGGAAGCCACAAATCCAATCACTTAATCTGTTGGATGATTGAAAGTACCGGTATTTGACGGTGTGGTTTGGTCACGTGCTACGCCAGCTACGCACAAAAATCGAGTCAATATTAATATTGCATCTTTGGTTCAACCATTTCGTCTACCACAATGAACATCGCTCCAGTCGAGCTAAAATTACGACTATGAACATCTAAACAATCAGCAGTGGTTTTCTCAGCGTCTTCCTATCTCCTCTAACGTTTCTGCATCCGTTTTCCAACTTTTTCCTGAGCCTCCCGGCAATCCTACCATCGAAGGGATCTCCTGATCTCTCGAGCATGCCTCATCTATCAGGATGTCTCTTCTTCAAGATTCGCCATTACATTATCTTACATGCATCAGTATCGCTAAATTTCTTCCGCGCCTGCTCGCGCCCTTTCATCCAGCTCTTTTCCCAGATAATATAACCTCTAACCATTCTCGTTCTTCTACATACGACCATAGACTGAAGAGAATTGGGCATCCCGTCCGCTCTGCCATACACAAGCTTCAGATCGGTGGATTAGTAGTTGGGTGGGTGACCACCAGCGAATCCCCACTGTTGTATGTTGTTTTTTTCGTATTTTTGGTGTCTTGGAGGGCCACGAGTTGTCGCATCCGTGTCACGTTGATTTGCGATCAATCTCTCACAAATAAGTGCTCCCAGCAAGGCGTTGTACATACTGTACTAGAATTCACCGCAGATTTATAGACTGATGTTGCATTGAACTCAGCCGTCTTTCCCCTCTTACCGAAAATCTAACATGCCCATTTGGACTTTTCGAATCGCTCCGCCGGCTACAGAAACACAACGATTAGCGTCTAATCTATAATTTTTGACAGCTACGGCTACTTTCCCAAATTAGAATGGACTTACAGGCATATTATCATCAGATGTTTGGGATATCCAGCAATGAAGTTGGGTTTGATCGGATGTGTAATGAATGTGCGGAGAATGGAACAGCAAAGTTTCGGGTGGTGTATGGATGCTCATGTTTGGCAAGAATTGTCCGGTAACGATGGTGTGCATGGTCGAGGCTGTGGTGGAGAAAGACAAGGTCTGACTTCCGGGATAATCATATGGTGAAGTGGAGGGGCCTGGAGTTGAGTATTGCAGTTTGTAGGAATTCCCGCCTGGGGCGTAGAAAGTCCTTTCCCCTTGACAAGGACTAGGGCTATTGCCTAAAGATGATGGTGTAGCGGCAATGGACGCCTTGTTATCGCCGATTGCGTCAGGCGCGGACCAAGATTGGATGTGGATGTTGTATTCCGGTACGGTCCCCGAATTGATTGGTTGAAGTGATTCCACCGAGCCGGAGGATACAGTCTCGTGTGAGGGTATATCGAGAATACCGTTTTTATGCCTGTCGGCCACATGGTGGTCTTGCACCATGGTGGTATAGGATATGGTGAGATGCAGATTATCACTGTGGTCGCTCGGCGGTGAGGCAACCATCAAACTAGGGGACTCGGGATTGTACAGGTCACGTGCATCTGGGATGATGGTTGGATGAGGGTGGTCGGGGACTTGGCCGGAGGTGTCGAAATGGGTCCTAGTGTGGCAGAGGATTGTATCGACACTTCTTTTGCTAGACTTTTGGTAGTCTTTATATGACATTGGGCTATCAACATCGGTATACCACTCTTCTTGTGGAAAGCTGGCGATGGGAACATCATTGAAAAGGTTGGGATATGGACGAATATTATTGACATGTCGTTCGTCGTCGGTATAATCGTGTAGAGCGATCATTGATTGATTTTCCTCTTGTGAAGCATCATCATTGGAGATAGTAGACATGATGGTATCGTGTTGTTGATTGAGAATGTGGAGCACTTTCGAGGTTACACTTGCGTAACTTTCGATGACTTTCGATGACTTTCAAGACTTGCGAAGAATTACCACGAATTTAGGAAGTAATGTCACCCGTGCTAATACTTTGATAGTTGCCCAAGTTTAGTTGCGTATCGGCTGAGGAAGTGGTGTTCACTGCCCGGAGGATTAGCAAAGCTCAAAACGAATAATTTAGAGGTGAATTCGACGTAGCTTTTGATATCTGAAGCGTTGTGTCTTGCGATATCTTCAAATGGACTTGAGCTGCACGGTTTTCTCTCATCACCACCTCGTGGGACCTTATATTATTTATGTTGGAGTACTCAATCTTGGCTTGAGGCTCGGTATAGTGTAATGATCGCAAGCGAGGCAAAGAAATGGCGAACCATTTTGCAACCCACGAAACGAGAGAACCGCGTCCCCCAGGCTTTCTGCTCGGCGTTAGATGTTGCTTACTTTGTGCTACAGTATTACGTCTGGGTCTCTTATTCCCATGCAACCATGGTTTTACTAAGCAATATCAAGTCAATGTGCTAGATACGACCAAGAAAGTTCATGGGGTTGTATCTATGGGAGCGCCTCGCCCTTTGCTCTGAACTTTCCCGTTCGCATTTGTCATTGTTCAACTCTATCACTCTGATATCGGTATGTATTAGTCTGCCTCGGTTCGCAATCAATAAATCATGACCACAATCGGTGGGCTTTCGGTCATCCAGATCAGGCTGATGACTTATGCGCCCTTTAACCCCGCGCCGATAGAACGCCAACCGATGGTTCGTTAGATGTGATGAAGAACGCATGTATCCGCCCTCTGCGTTGCACCTGAGCGAGCCTGCAACAGTAGAGTAATAAGATATATGTGCCGGGATTGGAATCTGACCTGTTAGGTATCGCACTGCTTTAAAGGATGCAGGTGATCACATGCGAAGCTCCGAATACTATGGATTTAACTAGCGTCTCATTGCTCTGAGAGATACGTTGTATGTAAACGGTCTGAGTACAGCTTCACATAGAGCGATCCATCGCTTACAAAACCTTGCGCTGAGTGGAAATATCTCGGGATCATTGAGGAACTGTACAAAGGACAGAACTGCCTTGGAGTATACTAGCTTGTTGCCGTCTTCCGGGAATCGATCGCCATGTACTTTAGCCTGGCAAAACAGCCACTACTAGAATTAGTTACCCTGGCTTCTACCATATGGGGCCATGCTTTGTGCCGCTGATTCCGTAGCAATTCTTGCTGTAGTTCAAGCTATCGCAGAGAAGAAAAAGGAAACGTGTATAGATCTTTCAGCTGGCAAGCTTTTCACCTGCTTGACCGAAAAATGTATTCAGCCGCATGTATAAACATGTATGGATTATTGCTGTAGAATTTTAATCATCTGCTTCTAGTTCGTGTCTTGGCGCAATCTCTAAGGAACCGAAAATCCATATCTTGTTTACTACTTATGCATGTGATTGGTGATCTAATTGATTTATGAAACTGTCGTGACTTTTAGAATACCAATTACTGATATAAACTATTTTTCAAAGATGCTCTAGACCTCCTCTCAATAACTGATAGATGTTTCCGACAAACATCTGTATAATTGGCGTGGACATTGAAACAGTTGGGTCGAAGGATTGCTAGAGGTCTAGATCGTTCGAAATCGAGAATGCAGATCATTCACTTCAGCGTATCCATTCTGAAGGTCCAATCGGAGTATGAAATAATAACGGCGACTTTATCCGCTTGAAAAAATTGTTCTTCACTAAATCTTAATCCGGCAAAGCTCCCGGCTCAAAATGGATAGAGTTTGGGGAATCACGACAAATTATCTCGATTAAGACTAAATTAACTACTTCACAGCCTCATTCTATCATTACATGCGGAACACACGATAGATGCCTCGATAAGAATACCTTCCCAGCCCCGATTTATATATTACACAATGAAGTATATTTCGGTAGTTGTTCTACAACTGAAAATGCCCGATTTCCCGTTCCACGCGGATTTTCAGCCACGCAGAAAATCAATCTTTAGATGCGAACGCAAGGCCGCGTTGATTATTGCAACTCACCTAGATAACAAAATTCCTGAGCTTGACACAATTAATTAGTAGTGGGCATGGCGTCACTGCCATGCACGGCGACTCGGAATACTGCAGCCTAGGTTCGGTGTGGCTAAGGCGTGGATATATTATTTCGCTTAGCTACTTTTTAAGGTTAGTGCGCCCTGATTTAACGATTTTCGATATATAGTTGTTCGTCTTACTAGATATATAGATCCCGTAGTGCGGAGTATTCCGCTACTGTCCGCTCTGGGGATAACATTTGCTAAGTCGTCCGATAAAATTGGAGGAATCTAATCAGCTAGTCAAGCATATCATCCAGTACCTAAGACAAGGTGGGGTGGTGTGAATAAATTCAGGGGTTGACCTAAGCGAGACCTGTCAAGAGCAGCAAAATATTCAACACTTAATATTCATGGACTCTCTTTCATCAACTTTATACGCTTGATTTCTTTTCCCGGGGCGTTTCTTTCTGTACACTCGTTTCATAATACGAGGTTTATCTAGGTACTGTATTGTTTTGTTGAACGTCTCGCTTATATTGTTGGGACTGAAGATGTCCGTGCCGTAGGGCTGCATCCTGGGGTACGTTCCTTTCACATCATCTGCTGACCGGTATCCAGGATCCCTAGATTCCCGCGTCCGAAGTTACACAATCTTTTTAGGATAGATTGATTAATCATTAATTAGTATTATCGAATGTATGTGCAAAGAATTAGTTAGATGATTTGGAGACCTTGGGAAAATCATTGAGAAACCTAGTATAAAATATCTTTATAGTTTGAGTAACGTTTTTTAATTGGACAAGAGGGCGAGGTTTTCTGGTGTTCATTGGTGCTATAGCCTGCGCCATGCAAATATGTACCAAATGTATAGTGGCATCAATGAAAGAAGATAGCTTTAGATGATCGGCTCACGGAGAAGAGGCACGTTGCGGTTCTTCCAACGCACTGCTATCTATGTTTTGCGTGTGAAGGAACAATTTGCTGAAGACTAATTGCAAAGAGGAGGTATCATGAGAAGCAAAAATTATGAATTAATTAATATACAGTAAAGACTTTTGACACAAAGACTTTTGACACAAAGACTTTTGACACAAAGACAAGTCAAGCTACCTCCTCATTTTCTCTTCACCCTATGGAATTTGCAAATGTAAAAAATAAACGCAGTACTGAGCTTTGAAAGAAAATAAATGAAAAGCTGCAAATGATATTCGTGAGGCTTATTGTATAAATTTCCGATGTGTCTTCCACAATCCATTGTAGCTTTCCACAGAGGGTACCTGCTCTCGAAGATAATTGCATTGAGTGCTTGGGAAAAATTTGATGATATATATAGTTATCGAGGACGATGATATTCGACATCGGAACTTTCTTTAACATAGTTTGATAGTGCTACAAGAAAGCTTTATCATCGCTTCGGATTCTGACATGACCAACTGTCATTCAGTAATTCTAAACTGATGTTAGATTGCATTAGAAATAATAATATGATATTTGCTTACATTTTCATCAATGGTATATACCTAGTTAATAAAAGACTTTGGTTTAAAGATCATAGTTGCGCCTTACCAAACGCTCGGCGAACTGACAGATTGTTAGTCTTCATGGTAGGAATTTGGCAAGAAGGGATCTTACAGTCATTTCTTGGACACGATTTTCATACAACCATCTAGAAAGCTGGAATTGATTTGTGATCGGTACGTCTTCGAGTGTCATAGCTTGTTGACTATGTATAGTCGTAATTGGAAATGTATTGGTGATTTGATAAGGATTCCTAACATGCGCGACGTTGTATGATGGGAATGTAGAATATGTGGCAGTTTGAGGGGTAGCGGTCATGTAGCCAGAAATAGGGAAAGAAGCACCCATGTGATCAAATAAGAGAGGATCTGGGGAGATAGTTGTGGATAACGCGCGCTTCTCTGTATCCTGGAATACCTCTTCTGTTGCTTCGAATAGAGGATTGTCGTCCGCGAAATCCCATTGTGCAAGGATTGATTCATTGTCAGCTTCGGTGTATCTGCCTTCAACCATTGTAGACTCAGCGTGGACAGCTTCCACCTCTTCAAAGCCTTGCTCCCGTGAAATGGAACCTGTTCCTGGCTGTGCGATAATTTTGTGCTCGTGTGTTTCGTCATTAGATCTGTTCGAATGTGCAGTAAGTTCCTGAGGGGTTCTTTTATCGCGAGACCTACGATCGTCAGAGGTTGCTTCACGCATGAGTTAGGAAGGAAGTGCTACTTTTCTCTCTGCTGCTTTGACTTGCTAGCAGATTGTCTTCGATTTTTTAAATGCTTGCCCATGATGAACGAGTGGTAAAATAGGTGAAGGAACTTGAAGTTGTATACAAGTGTGGATTGTGTGCTAGAGGTTGATGATTTTGAATGGAAGGAGGATTATAAACAGTGTGTGCTGTATATAGACTAATAATGGATGTGTACAAGGGCAAAGATCGAATATCTAGTATTTTGAATGATAGAACGAGACCAGAAGTATATCTAGCATAGAAGGGGATGTAGATATAAAGTGTCGAAGTTGATGACCTCGAAATGTATTTGACTACTTGAATTGTGAAGAAGTGAAGAAAGTGTAGTGCGAGATGTGGATGTGTATGAGGAATGACTCCTCTATATATTTATACTCTACCTCTGAAGCGCACCAGGTGGCCGTTAGGCGTAAGAGCTTCTGCGAACCATTTTCGAACTGGTGGATGGTCTTTTGGAACCGCTCCCCGTTCGGTTACCGCATCTTGGAAGGGCCTTAATCGACTCCTCGGACGCCCTACTGCAGGCCACCGGAAAAAAATCAGCTAATACAACTAAAAACTTTGCCCCTATATGAAGGTTTATTATAAAAGAAGGTTCATGCATAGTAAATCTAGATATCCATAGCTTGGATATGCAAATGCACGAGTAGATTAAAAAATTTTAAGGACAGCTAATCTGCATGCAAATTTCCTTTCATCTTGATTTCTTCAATTTTTTTTCTCACACCAGTAATTAAAAATATTAGTTGTCGAGGTGACTCCAGAAACTATAAATACCTAGAAACAGTATACCCCTTTGTCAGGTAAACTCGAGTTCCCAGGGACTGATCGGAAAATCTTCCTGTCTTCAATCTAGAAGAAAAAGTATCGCAATGATTGGGAAAATGAACATTTCATGGATCAATAGATATTTTCATTTTCTGAAGAAAGAATGAGTCAAACGTTTGATATGCTTCCCGCTACCTCTTCTGCCTCTACGATCACATCCCCTACAGGGCAAAAGAACAATCCCTGCCCCTCTGCAAATGCGATGCGACTTTCTCCAGGCTGTTCACAAGGCGTAGTGACGTCTTTAGGTGAATAAAATCTTTTACAATTGTTGATAGCTATTATCAGTAATTAGAAAAAGTGTTAAGGGTAATCTTATGAGCAATGAATGCGCTGGCAATTTGAACGCCTTTCTCGGGATAAATTAATTTTGATTCAAAAGACAGCGCCAACAGCGCCGACAGCGGCAATCGTTTAACAGTGCCTCAGAAAAGATATCGATGCAAGAAAAAATATTTTCGCACGATCGTAGAAGCAGTAGTAATTATCATGGAATACTATTCCCTGTCTAAAGATAATATAGTGTGATTTAAAATCCGACTTAATGGCAAGCCTTGTACCATTGGCTTAGAATTATCGACTTTTGAGATAGTAAATAATGCTTGTACGCGTCTAACCCCGGATACGAGATAGGAAAGAGGTCCGATATACTCCTGATAAGTATATTTAACATTTGTTTACGGCTGACACCAGCGGAGTAAAGTCCTCGATGTAGTAGTAATTTATCAATGCCCACTAGCGTCTCCAATCTCTAGGGTTTCTTTAATTGAGAGCATGGTAGCCGAATTAATTTTTTTTGACGACATGACATCAATGAGAGAAAATTTTTTATATTGTCACACAGATTGGATTGCGACACCAACCATATTACTACCAGGTTTGAGCAGTGATACAACTAGTACCTGAATTTAGCGTGCGTCATCCTAGCTGTATTTTGCGCAATTCCCCCGGTGACTAGACGCTGTCAATCGCTTTGTCCCGTTAGAACCTGGTGCAAACTCTTTTAATTCTTAGGAGTACCACCAAAGGTGTACCACATACCAGACTCTACCGTATTGAAGCATTCCACATCAAAGAAGCCCCGCCTCTTTTGTCTAGCTCAAAATGGGCGTCCATTAGGTTATTTATTAACCACATGAACTTGGTCCTGCTCAAAAAACATTTTTTCAAGCCCTGTATATTGTTATGCACGAATCATGCAGGGAACACGTATGCGCTGGCTTGAAAGATAGGGTTGTAAACAAATATCGATGCATGCGAGCGAGTACATACTGGTAAATATAGATGCGAACCATTCAAAAAATAAGATTCCGTAGATTATAGATTCTCATGCATCATTCACACATACCATGATCTATGAAATGTTGACAATACCAGTCTAACTGCAAAGAGTTCAAGAACCAGGTATCTTTGCGGTTCCTATGGAAAATACGTTCTAGAAAGCTCTAGCTTCTTTTCGTCTCCTAGGTAACCTCACCGGGGGCACAAAATATAACCCAAAATTTGATCAAAAGAAAATAACAAAATAATCGAAGTGGATAAAATATTTAAATATGAAGTGCAATTAGAGCCTTGCCCACCGAGTGTCGCCCTGAGAAGGAACGGATCCGGATGACACGATGTCATAGAAAAGCCGTGGCTTTTACGAGGAACTCCGGGGGAGACAATATGCTAGGTTCAGGTTCCATTTATTAGTAAAGGGAACCTACATTAGATTAGGACATAAATTTTCCTTTGTGGGGCTTCGGGGTGGTTGAGAAAGAAATATTAAGATACCAATGAAGATCATTTTCCTGATGAAGATCTTTGAACTAGACCGTTTTCAACACACGTACGTTCATGAGTATGCATTCGACGCCCGAGACAAATAATCTTATACAAGAGGCGAAGTGAAAAACACGATAAAAATGTGGATACCACTCCTCTCAGGTCTTGTCTAAGAGGGGAACGTCAGAGTGCTCGGAGATAAAGAGTCTGGTTCTTGTCAACTTTTGCCGATATGAGCCATTCTCATGTCCATTCTCGTAGTATCGTAAAATATCCTTACTACAAAAGACATTCCGGATATATGGTTCCTGAAACGTTGACTAGCCGGCGGGGCGTTGTACTACACGACGGGATTTAATAAAAATGAATTATTTTTCTCCTTCAAGAAGCCGATCGAGATAACCAATCTCTGTGTAGCGCGACCCGAAAGAACTGCATTTGCCCATTGGCGTATGGCAACGAGAGCGAAACTCCACTTGAAATCTGACCACAAGGAAAGAATCACAGCCATGCATGCTCGCATCAATCATAGATTGACAGTATCGCCCTATCAAACTACTGAACAACTCAGTATGTTCCTGGTGTCGATCAACCCGTTCGGTCGGCAGGCTTTTATCCAACCCGACCGGACCTTTCTTGGTACCATGGCACGTTATGCATTGTGTGCAAGATTGCCGAGTGCTACACTTGGCTTGCGCCACAAAATCGTCGCACGCTTTTGAAGGAATGAGAAGGCGTGGGTTATGTTTGCCAACGTTAGATTGTCAATACCAACTTGTGCAATTTCAACACGTGTCGTTTATGCCGAGCCCTCCTGAAATTACCCTTCTGATACTGCACTATTCCAAGTCGTCATACATTAAGCACATATAAGAGACTTTGCGCGGCTTCGCGAGGCAGCTTTTGACACAACGTAACATGGAGCAGAGAAGACAGTTCAACTATAATGCAAATAAAAGATAATTTAGGGGTTTACAGTGTGAATTTGAGGCGCACGTCATTGAAACTGACCATAGCACATTGAAAGAGTCGTGTGAATATTGATATTTATTTAGTGCACTCCTAGTGATAAGAATTGAACCCGTCACGTGACAATTTAATAGCCAAGCACCCATAAACACACACCTTGTTGATTGTTGCAGAAAAGATCAGACCGACTTTTTTCCACTTCATAGTTTTCGTACGTAACTCGTTTTGGAAGCTATGATGAGTCGATAACAATTTTTGACTGAGTGATTTCTTCAGCCAAAACGTAGGTAAGAGTGATCGTTGTCAGATGCATATGCGTGGTTCTCTTTTCAGGATCAAGCATGCGTATCGATGAATGAGACTCACAACCTCGATTCCACGAACGAGCTATCAAACTCAGGTGCCCATGCCTGTATAGAATTGTCCCCTTGGCTTAGTCCTTATCATTTACGAGGACTCGGCGGACAGAAATGAAGAATTTTGCACGAGTGTACATGTACGTAGCTCGCGCGGGATATCTTCTAGGATATCGTATAAGGTCCACAACTTCAGACAGTCCTATCATGTTTGATAGTTTTGTTTAGCCTGAGTGGCAATAATTTGTATCTTCAACTTGGTCCAAGCCGTCTAGTGTTGGCAAGGTACTCATGACAAATCAACGGGGTACATGGAAATACTCAAGCATTTTCAAAGCAGAAGTCTTGCAAACAAGATGCCTGCCTTTGGAAGGGGTACAAGCCGCTAGCAATCATCTCTAAGTACATCATAGTAAGGCAGTACCGGCAAGTGTGTAATTAACATAGTAGAAAAATAAGTGCTGCACCTCAATAATTGGACAGTCTTTTGCAATGGCAATCTCAACGGTCCGTCCCGCGATGGAAGTTCCATGAAAATTTATTACTAAAATTGGTATTGTAGCTACAAAATTTGAAATAAAACATAGCTCAAAAGGTGGTCTGGCAATCAAAGAGCAGGTGTTGATTCTAATTGCCCTAAAATGCTAGGAGGAACCGGGGTGGTCCCGCTATCTTACCGCTGAGCAGCATGCCTCCTCACTTCTATTTCAAAGCTTTTTTGCGTTGACATAACAAACTCGTCTCATTGTGTAGAAGCAGTACGTGGATCTTCAACAGATTGCACCTCGTGTTGTGAAAAGATCTAGCAGACTGGCAATAAGCCCACACAAGCTCAGGATTTTTGGACACGTCGGCACATGTGAAATTAAACTGACCCGGGGTGTCCAATCTGTCGGGTCTGAGGCTGAGAGAAGCAAAATGAGAATTTCTACATGCCCGCACTGAGATGACGAATAGCAGGAGGAGCCTTTAAAATGTGTATTTATCCCTTGCATGGTTTGTAGATTAATTTCCGTTATACATCAAATTTATCGGCACAAATGACTAACTAACATGGCGTTTCTTTTATAACGATTTATACGAGGTGCTGCGAGAAACTAACCGCGAGCATCATCAAGGAAATTTCACTCAAGGAGTGCAATAATTCCACTCTACCAAGGATCATAAGTCCAACGATATAGGGCAAATGAAAGGGAATGGTAACCATCGTTCACGGTAATATCGGCTTGACCCCTGAAGAATCTTCTTTGTGGCGTTATCGAAGGATATTGTGCGGTATTGCGTGATGTCATCTCACTAGCAAGGACCATTGCGAAAGTCATATGTACTCCGTACGGTAATTTACCACTTGGGAACACCATGAAAAAACTTTTGACAGTCGGGGATCATGAATTGATCAATCAATCAATTGACTCGATGGCTGCGAACCATTTATCCCAGCAAAACGTGGCACCCCGGACATCATGGAGATTCACAAAGAAGATTAAGCAGGCCTTGACTGGATGTGAGGCTTTCCTTGAATAAACCCCTTGATCTCAGAAAATCAACGACAAACTTTTCATGTCTTGGTGTACGTAAGTGATGTCACATTGCTATGGATTCGGTTGTTTCGGCTAATGCAATGTACTCCAGATTCTGTCGGTTGCGCTCTATGCCACTAGTCTAAAAGCATGCAAACACAACAAAATTAAAAGATTACACTGTTTAGGTGACCTGAGTTACTGTACGAAAGTCAGGTTATCAAACATGCTTAGTTTTCATCTCCTTTCATTTAACATTAGTTTCTTGGATTATGCGGGATTTATCCAGTGACATGTTAGAATTTCTGTGTCTCAGAGTCAAAAAATTAGACCTAGTAACAATTTCCAGTTCTATTGATAAGCTAAATTGATTAAATATTGCTTTACCAGTTATCAGGAGGCTGTTTTTTGTTATATGAAACGAAACATGTGGAACAAGATAATCATTTGTCTAATCTTCTGGTACTAAGAAAAAAATCCAAATCCGTCACTGTTTAACCAGCCTCTTCAAATAAATGCTAGTGAGGACTTAACCGTTGGCTGGGGCGGCTACTGTGATAAATTTGCACTGCGTTACCATTTTGCAATCGAACGCCATGTCTATCAAATCCTTCGAACTTGTCCTGACTCATGCCACTCCTGATATCAAATACAACACTACGACCCCGCCTTCTCTCCCCCCAATTTCGGTTATTTTCTCACCGACGGCTAATCTATAGCCTCATCTATCATATTTCACGAATTTCAAACAATTTGAAAAAAAAAACTGCCTCACCCCACGAAATATTATCATCGCCTAGACGCCGATATCCGGATGTCCAAATCTTAAACGAGAACTGTTCATTTCTTTCTCCACAGTGGATTTAGGGTTGCATTCTAATATGAGTATTAAAATGATATTTTTCGATGTCCTAGCAACGAGCTTCAAGTGATTTCGAATTCATAACAAAAACTAAAAATAGCATCATCATATTATAAACATTATAAATTTAAATCCATTAATGGAAAATAGAAGAAAACAGACATTAACGTCTCGCTCATATGCTCTTGCCCTCGAGCTGTAAAACCCTGATATTTCCTAGGGTCACGGAATGCAGGTCATATTACCTCGTTGATATCTTCAATCACTCTCTTTCTTTATTTTCATGATCTGATAGCTATAAAATAGCACCGTCCCTTTAATCTCCTTTAAATTCATATAGGAGAATCAAGAATAGGAGAATCAAGAATAGTAGAAAACAAGCATTCTATAGTACATATACACTTAAAACAAAGATAACCAAGTTTACTTTCTATATTAATAGTTTAAATGATCATATCAGTCTTGAAACATAGTATTGATACAAATCCGTCTGCAATCAGTCTTCAAGTACTCTCTTTATTATCATGATCTTAATTACGTATAGGGAATAGCACCGGCCCTGTAAAGAAGACATCCCATCCATTAGATCAACGAGGCTGGCAAAGCAGACTGCAAACTTGTTGCATTTCTAAAAGTTTGTAAGTACACCCACTTCTGAGCTGGCCCGTCACATTTGACTCACACACTATTAAAGATTCCTAGCTATCCATACTGAGTATGGAAGGCCAATTATCAAAAATCTCTGTCTAAAATTGAAGCCAACCGCGAGAATAGTCTCCCGTCTGATTCCTCAACCTATTTTCTGTTCATACAAAAGAAACATAAATAGTAGGAAACAAGCATTCCGTATATATACACTTAAAACAACAATAGCTACGCTTACTTTCTATATTATTCCTCTAATTGATCATACTATTCTTTGAGACGAAGTATTGGTACAAATATAATTACAATTAGTCTTTTCATATCGATTACTTCTTCTTCTACGTTCTGTTGATATATTATTCAATTTACAAATCATTTTCTGAAGTCAAAGAGACTGTCAAGACACTTCTAAAACTTTATACTGATATACTCTCAGGTATAAAAGCATTATTCAAAACCATCGACCTATATATTGTTAGAACTTCTCAAAAGAGGGAGACACTATATATATATAATATTACACATTGAAAGCTAGAAACATACTCTATCTATAACCGTCTATGATCAAAAGATGTATTTGTTGTATTATTTTGTTTCAATATTAATGACACGAGAAGTAGTATATAACTATGTAAACAATTATAGAATTCTATAACTATAACTTGACCCGAGAAGTGAAAGAGTATTCAAAGACTTTCTCTTTATAACTAACTCTTGTCCCCTTATAATTTACAACGTCATGATCAATGAATTGAACCTATTCGATCTTTATAGCCCTATAGAATCTACACTTTAGAACAGAGTAAACTATCTTACCAATGTATTGTAATCTACCGAATAGTTTTAAAAGCTACAATTCCGGTTCCCAACAAACACCCTAGCTTCTAACAAGTATTAAAATTCCGATTTACAATTCCAAGCTTCGAGAGCTACAATCCCTGAGCGAAATACTGATTCCGACTTTTAACAAACACCCTGACTTCAATGGCCCTGATTCCTGATTCCTGATTCCTGAAAGTTACATTTTATAATTGATTACAACTCCTTCGTGATTTCCCAATTCTATTGTTATGATTATAACTTCTGATTCCTACTCTTCTCTGAAAAGCTTATAGATTATTTACAATTGATCTCACTTCTTTCTATCATTGTAATTATATTAATTATCACAGATTCACAACTCATTCTAATTAATTAATCTATATAAACATATACAACTTCTAATTACATCTTATATACTTGATCTTCTTTTAATTAACATTTCATTTCTTTTCTTCTTTATAAAATATCATTATATTATCTAAAGTCTAAGCCTTATCTATCATTGTAATATTTACAATAACACTCACTCTCTAATTATATTATAATAATTGATTCCCGAGCTTTATATAAGTATGTAAATAGATGTAAAGAATCGAAGAGAAATTAATTAATATCAAGGGTATATAAAATACAAAAAGATATTTAAAAGACTTTCTCTTCATAATAACTCTTTTCTTAAAGTTTACAACCTCAATGAATTGAAGATTATTCGATTCCTACAGTTCTATATGCTAGCTACATTCGTGCAGTTATCTATATTATATTTCTAAGGCATAAGTTATAAAGACTGTGATAAATGTAATGAGATGAGTTATTATTATAAAAGACAAATATATCGCAAAGTAGTCTTTCATCTAGAGTAAATAATCAAATCAAAGCAATTCATTCTATTCATTTCATACCATACCATACAATATTCCATATACATATCAATCTTCAAAGAAAACCCAAGGCGAGGAGGACCAGATACTAATTCCTTCCATCTTAGTCCATCCCAGCCTTTTCCATTACATCCCAACTCTTACAAATTCAAACCCTCCCCTCTCTATCATTTCCCCAACCACAACACTCACTCTCACCCTCATCTACAACTTCCCCTTCTCCTCGCCCAACAACTCCACTCCCGCACCCGCAATACACAATTTCCCCGTCTCCTTAACCTTAGTTTGGAAAACCACTCTATTATCACCCTCCTTCCACATTTCCGTGACTAAAGTTTGGCCTGGGACAACCGTGCCTACGAAGCGGACTTTGATGTTTTTGTAGGCTCCGAATCTATGTTCGTTAGAATGGGTTGAGATAGTATAGAGATAGGATATTGAAGAGAATAGAAAGGTAATAGGGGAGAAAGGAAGGAAAGAAGGAAAAGGATACTAACTTTTGATATACAGCTTTACCGGCAATACCCATAAAACATAGACCATGAAGAATAGGAGCTTTGAATCCACCTACAGCTGCGAATGCTGGGTCGACGTGAAGAGGATTATACTATTTCCGTTAGTGTCTTCATCCTCTTGCATAAGAATATCAAACTCACATCACCACTCAACCTATAAAGTACAGCCTGTTCATCTGTCGTCTTCTCTTCCACCACCGCGTCAGGTGTTCTTTCAGGAACTTTATTAGCCCTCGTGCTATTTCCCCTATCTGCCCCCTTTCTCTCACCACCAAACCCACCACATCCTCTCAAGAAGACGGTTTGCTCGTTATAGAAAATTTTCCTTCCGGTTTCTTTTTCTATGGTTGTAGTTCCCACTTTCACAACGGCGGCACTGCCTTTATCGACAACTTCAATGAGTTTTGGTGATGAGATAAGAGTGCCAGAGGTGGGAATAGGGTAGGAGGCGATTTCGAGATATTGTTCGCCATGGAGAAGCATCATAGGGGAGAAATTTGGGACAATTTCGTCAAAAGTGAAAGGGGCTTCGGCGTTGAATGGGGGGATAACACCGAAAGTTGGAAGAGGTTGGAAATTATCATCACCCTCACTATACTTCAATTAGTCGAGTTTTGGATGAAAGAAACGAGCAACTTACAAAACTAGAGACAATTCCGACTTCTTTGCACCTACTCCAAGGTTGTATAGCATAACATCACGCTCTTCAAATTTGAACTCGCTTCCACGGGCTTCAGCTTTCTTGGCAGCAGCAATTTTATCAAGGATTTCTTGATTCACTTCAACCTTTTTCTCAACTTTCTGTAACAGGAAAATAAGTTAACAAATATCTTTATTTTGCGCTAATATACATGACGCCCTGCCTACATATGAATAAAAACTTTCATACCTTGCTCACACCGGCCTGCTTATTTTGCATGTTCGCCATAATACTCTTCAAACCATCTTGACTATCTTCAGGGTGATCCGATCGTCCATCATCAAAGTTGGTGATTTTTGCCCAATGCTTCACAACTTCTTCTGGGGTAAGTTTAACATCGACGGGGAAACCGTGTCCACCTGTTCGTTGCCATCTTGTTCGTCCAACCCATCCACTACCGACTTCGAAAAGACCACCAGTTGGTGGGGGTGGAACTTTATCGCTACAAAGAGCAACTACTAATGGCGCTATGTAGTCTGGCTTGAATGCTTGAACCATCTCTTCTGGCATAATGGTTCTAGTCATTGCAGTACCAGCATTTGGTGCAATCGTGTTAACATAGATGTTGTATTTGGCACCTTCACGAGCGAGGGCACGAGAGAAACCGAGAATACCACATTTCTTCGGAGGTCAGCAAGGGTCTTCAAGTCGTCAAGGGATTGAACTTACAGCAGCAGCATAGTTGGCCTGTCCAAAGTTACCATAAATACCACTGGTAGAAGTAGTATTAACTACACGACCATACTTTTGCTTTAAGAAGTATGGCCATGCAGCCTTGGTAACTTTGTATGTACCTCTGAGATGGACAGACAAAACTTGATTCCACATCTTATCATCCATATTGGTGAAAGCTTTATCACGGAGGATACCAGCGTTGTTGATAATAATATCAATACGTCCGTAAGCGTCGATTGCAGCTTTGACAACAGCATCTCCATCCTCAGCGGATGCCTTCACACCAACAGCTTTTCCACCAAGCTTCTGGATTTCTTGAACAACATCATCTGGATTCATCAAATCATTAACAACGACTGAAGCACCGTATTTGGCGAACGCCAAGCAATAGCATCGACCAATACTAAGAAAATTAGCCTAACCCCTTAAGAACAGATTATATTTACTTACCCAGCGCCTCCACCGGTGACTAAAGCAACCTTTCCCTTGAAACCAAGAGTCTCTCCTTTGTCATTTGGTCCCATCTTCATTGATTTCTCGAGAAGGCCCATGAAATCCGCAGGACCATCAGGATGGTCGGCATTTTTGAAGTTATTAATTTGATCCCACTTTTTCAGGATAGCTCCTGGAGTGTATGAATCATCTGCCTTGAGCAACAAACCACTTGAACGTTCCCATCGAAGTTTAGCAACGTGTCCACCGCCAACTTCAAAGATTGAACCATTCTCTTGGGCATCCTTGTGTACCAAAGCTGCTACAAGAGGAACTACCCAATCTGGTTTTAAGTTTTCGAGAATCTCGGGTGGCATGACAGTTTGAGTCATTCGACTAGCAGCTATTATTCATTAGTGGCCGAACGTAGTCTCAAAGAGAATGGAAAACATACCTATAGGAGCAATAACATTTGCGTGGATGTTGTATTTGGCACCCTCCTTGGCCAAAGTTTCCGTAAATCCAACCATGGCCAATTTAGCCGCAGAGTAATTTGTTTGACCAAAGCTTCCAAACAAACCAGCCGCACTAGCAGTATTGATCACTCTTCCATACTTTTGTTTTCTGAAATGTGGCCAGGCGGCCTTTGCACATTTATATGATCCGTTTACGTGAACATCAATGATCAGATCCCAATCTTTATCTTGCATGTTCTTAAATGAAATATCGCGAAGGATTCCAGCGTTGTTGAGTAAAATATCGATGCGGCCATAAGTTTTGATGGCGGTGTCGATGATCTTTTCACCCTCTGTGACACTATCGTAGTTTGCTACAGCCTTTCCGCCTGCGGCTTTGATTTCATCGACTACGACATCTGCGGCCTTGAGATGATGTTAGCAAATGGCTGGGAATTGAAAATGGTTGATTGATGGTTGGAAGGAATAGATACCTTTGTGGAAGTGCCCTCGCCCTTGAAAGATCCTCCAAGGTCATTTACGACCACACTTGCTCCCCTTGAACCAAAAAAGAGAGCATATGCTTTTCCTAAGCCACCGCCAGCTCCCGTCACAACGACGACTTGACCATCATAACGTAGCTCCGACATGGTTATTCGTATGTATGTGCTGCGATTCCTCAATTGATTGATGGTATATTAGAAGGATTGATGATAGAGATAGGAGTGAGGAGAAGATGGATGAAGATTGATGAAGAAAACAAGATGAAATGAACAGGTTAAAGGCAAGCAGGTACGTAAGGTAAAGTATGTTGATGTAGAAATGGCTCGGCTGCTTTGTTGCAGGGGAACTTGGAACTTTCATGCCTCGGCACACGCTTATGCTTGAAGCTCCGTTCCCATGACTCCACATTTCTGGGGTAAAATGGCAGTTGCAAGCGGTGTGACGATGGATGTCTTTTTCACATGCGAATTCGAATCTTTATTGAAATCAATTTTGTTTGTTTGTATGTACTAGTGGACTGGTGGACTCTGGAGTATGATTTATCCTTATGAATGATTATGGCGGCGGGAGGGAGGTCCTCGAACAGCCTTAGCTAGACATATCATTATTCTTCAGCCTCCTGCGAAATATACCCGGGTGTCCATTTGAGATTCCTGTAGTGCGACCCCAGGTCTAGGTAGTTTTTCATCACTCTTTAAATAATCTATTATAAAAATCCAATTTAAAACTATTAATTCCGCTATTAGGATTAAATTGCTCAAGGAACGTATAGGACTCGTAATTCTACACTATAATATACTCCTGCTACCTAGGTAATAACAGACTTGAAAATGTTACCATGGGCCACGGTTCTTATGATAACACCTAGTGCTCTCGCCTGTATAAAACCGAAGAAGATACTCATATTCCCCAAGCTAACACATACACTGTAGCTAAATATCAAACTAAATGATGGAAGAAAGATTTGATCCAAGGGAGCAATAAAAGCTCACATAGTTCTGAACCCCGTCCACGATCTGCGGATGGGAAGGGGGTTGGGAAATTTTGATCTTTTTCATTTTTGTATAACCTGCGCCTATTCCCAAAACCAAAATAGATAACTATCCAAACATCCCGACCCATTAAACCGCAATGCAATCTTCTCACCAACATGGAGACGTGGAGACGTGAAGTCTCGGATATATATTTAACCTCCCATCAGTAATCACAAACACCGGAACAACAATCCAGCATTTCCGCCAGACATCATCCACCTACGCACCCACCCTTCGGAACAGTGGACCCCCGCACCCCACCAAACCAACCCAAACCATGATGCAGTGCACTCCGCTCCTACAGTGCACATCCAGCCCCTCCTGAGTAATACTCCCTCACGCTCACTCTACAAGTATATCCTCACACAATGGGCACCAGCAGCAATCCCAATCCAGCATCCCAACCCCAAATAATCGACGACAAAACCCCGCACATCCTCCCATTTATCCTACATCACCTAAGCATCCACCAAAAAACCCACGCGACAAGACCCTTCATCATCGGACTCAATGGAATTCAAGGAGCGGGAAAAACCACTCTCGTAAATACGCTTTATGAAATTCTTACTCGAGATCATGGACTGGAGACGTTGGTATTGAGTATTGATGATTTGTATTTGACGAGGGAGGATCAGGAGAAATTGGCGAGGGAAAATGAGGAGAATAGATTGGTGAAGTTTAGAGGGGAACCGGGTATGTAAATATATTTATTTTAGTCTATTATTTATTCTATCTCTTCTATTTACATTTGAGATTACAACAACAGCCCCAGCCTACCCTCCACAAACAAGCCAGGCTAACCCTCAACCCGCAACCAGGCACCCACGACATCCCCCTAGCCCACGCCCTCTTCACCTCCCTCCTCCAATCCCCCCCAAGCGCAACCCGTATCCCCATCTACGACAAATCCCTACACTCTGGCCTCGGCGACCGCAGCCCAAACTACCACATCGTAAACGATACAACACAAAACCAAAAACCCATCCAAATAATCATCTTCGAAGGCTGGTGCGTCGGTTTCCGCTCACTCCCGCAATCAATCATCTCCGAAAAACAGCAACACAGTCTATCCCTCCCCGCAACCTCCACCTCCACCTCCACCTCCACCTCCACCTCCCCCGCCAAAACCCAAACCTACACCTACACCACTCTCCGCGACCACCCCCTCTCCTCCCTCCTCTTCATCAACCAAAAACTCCAAGCCTACGACACCATAACAAACACATTCAACATCTTCATCCACCTCGACGCGCAAGACACGCAATACGTGTACGAATGGAGAAAAGAGCAAGAAGAAGCTTTGCGACGGGAAAAGGGTTCCGGAATGACAGATGAACAGGTAAAAGAATTTGTCGACGCTTATTATCCCGCGTATGAATTATTTCTCGATGGAGTGCGAGGGGATTTTAAAGGAAGGAAGCTGAAGGGAAAGAGGAAGGGGAATGGGGGGGGAAGCAGTTGCGGTTGGTAGTCGGGAAGGATAGGAGGGTGGTGGATGTAGAGAAGATTTGATGAGTGACAAATGTGTGGTTGGGTTTGAGTTTGAGGTAGGTTTTGGGCTTGAGATCGCTTGACTAGAATTAGATGTGAGATGTGAAGGGGAGTGTGACTTGAAAATCATTGAGACCATACATACCTACCAACCTACCTACCTAATCATAACCTTAATCATGGCTGCCAAATTCTACTCTACCATCATAGCACTACTATGCATGTAGACTTAATGATAATATGTGCCCCCATGAGATCAATTTTCAAAGCCATCTCATCTGATAGATGCATAGTACGTTTAGATGAAAGTATATAAGTACCTATGCAGGTGTGAGTACTAGGTGCCTCCATACCCCTGCTCGATAGCTATTGTAGTCTTAACATCATGCTTTAGCACTCTCGCTTGACGGAGCATTCTTGAACAAGACGTATAACCCAATTAAAGTCAAGTATAAGGATGCTCACTCCCGTGCAAAACATTGTGTATTACCATCTAATTAAATCAAAAAGCAAATGGGTATCTCGTACTAACTAAAATAGAACTCCCTGCCAAATGCAAAATGTAATCCTCAAATCGTCGTTCCAATCCGTTCTAGATTCCAAAACCCAGCGCTTGAATGCCCATGCCCATGCCCATGCCTATGCCTATGCCGAATAATCCACACATATTTACATAACCTGATAGTTATACAGAAGCCAATCTGTTTAATCGAAAGTCAAGGCTTCAGATGGTAAAAGCTCAATATATCCCGAATTTGTTGCGTACATCATCAACCATGTCACTAGCAATGTCACGATCGGCCATGTCTATAGCATCTTTCCCTCGATGACTCCCTTGGCGCCCTTCTTCATGCGTTCCATATCTTCGTTATAGGCTCGTAGACTTCCTTTCACCTCCCCTTCTCTCTTCTCTATCTCCCTTTCGAACTTGGCAACTACATCTCTCTTCTCTTTTCTAGCATCCTTCAGTGCTTTCAAGGTATCCGCAAATCTTTCCAAGAACCAATCCCCTGCTTCCTCCCACTCATCCTTGGATAAGTTACCAAAGAATTCAGCCATGGCGACGCGCTGCTTATCCAACTCTTTTTGATCTGCTGCTTGATATTGTTCTACATGATAGCTGACGCGCTCGTTAAGAGTACGATCTGAGAGTGACATGTCTGGCTCGCTGGGTTGTTCACTAGCAGCTGATGGAGCTTCAAAAGATTCGTCTCTAAGCTGGCTATAGTCCATGTTTTTCAAAGTGGCATCATCGTAATCAAGCTGGATGGTAGCAAGATTAAAAGCACCATTTTGTTGCGGGTTAGCTGGTGGAAATCGTTCGACTGGTCGAGATTGAAGTGCCGGTTGCTCTTTTATACGGCTGCTATCTTCAGAGTATTCTTCCTCATCAGAAGACCCATCGATTTGAGGTGATTGCATGTTTTCGGAGCGTGGCGGTGGAATATTATAGGGCGGAATTTCACGAGGTATGGCATTTTCCAAATCTTCAACTACTTGAGACTTTCCAGCTTTCGGCAACGGCGAAAAGACCCCCTCGTCCGAAGTTCGCTTTCGAGAACTTTCGACCGCTTGCACTCCATTCTTTTGACGATTTGTAAGAGTATCTAAGTGTCTGGACTGATTGAAGCGACCAGAAATCTTTTGTTTTGTTGGACTGTTGTGTTGTGGCAGCGGTGATAGGTGTGGCTGGAATATAATTTTTGGTGTCTGACTTTGTTTGTAAAGTGATTCTCCAAGAGCCTGTGTGTGTGGGCCATTATATTGGTGAAAAATCTTATGTGGTTGATGGGGGACCGGTCCATCGATATGATTGTGGCCAAAATCGGATTCATCTGGAGACCGCATATTATAGCGATTGTCTTGGGGATCCTGGAAATTATCTTGTTCTACCTGTTCTCTGACATGTCTATTGTCAAAGTCATCGACACCGACAACTGCCATGTTTTGCCCATTCGAAAAGTTTCCTTGGCTCACAGTATCATCAAAGTCCTCGGCGACTGTAGAATCATCGAATTTATCGCGGTTTTCTTGCTGCGTGTAATCTGGGTACATTTGGTCTCCTCCATGAACCGTGTTTCTCTGCGAAAATCCAGTCGGCTGGTCATAAGCAGGCTCCGAATTGTGAGCTCTATTCATGTTTGCAGACGAGTCTTTTTGTTTCTTGGAGCCTATTCTCAGATTCTTCGCCATCGCTTGACGATCTGCGCGTTGTTGAGGTTGAGGTTGAGGTTGTAGTCGAGGCGATGGTGATGGTGGCTGAGGCGGAGGCGAATCAGACTGGCGATCGATGAAGCCATGAAGCCGAGGATTGGCTGCCATATTATAGAAGTTGGTAAAGAAATTATTGAAGGGGATGTTTAATGGCATATGAGGAGTTGATGGTTGGGTAGGGCTTGGCGGGAAGGATGGTTGAACAGCGAGATCAACAAAAGGCGCAACTCGTAAACAGAGACACGGCAAGCAGTCGCAAATCAATTCATTCTCGCAAGTAACAGTATTGATAGAATTAACAGAATTGGAGGATCCTAAAGTATACGAAGTGCCTCGACTCTTGTCAGATCATTCAATTGAGTTTTGGGTTGTCGCAAACATTTGGCTCGCGTTGATTTCATGGAGTGGGGGAAGTCGCGATAACCTTTTTGTTTTCCTCGCGACTTCCACTTGTGATCCCGTGACTTTACCGATAAGGTTTTGGTTTTGGGGTGTGCTAACTCCAGTACCAAGTCTCCAAAGCTGCCTATTTTCGTCATATCACATAACCTCACAGCGGGAGATCTTCACATATCAAAATAATCAATGTATAGAATTAGATACATCGCGCTTTCATAGAGAAATCTAAAATAGAATAAGCAAAGCCTGCCTATACTACCCATATGCCAGGCTATTATACAATTGCAAACCACCACAACGAAACACATCGAGACCACAGATTTTCTCGTATTCCTCGTAAACCATTGCCAAACCGATCAAAAGCGCCTAGTTATTTCTAGCATATGCAGCATCGACTTCCTTCTTGTACTTCTCCAAAATCTTCTTTCGCTGCAGTTTTTGTGCCGAAGTTACCAATCCCTATTAATGTTAGCATGCAATCATGGAAGAGAAAGGGGAGATACTGACACTTTGAGGAGTCCATTCTTCATCGGACAAGACAACACCTTCAATGATTTCAATTCCCGATAATCCACCTGCCTTGCCAGCCGCTTGTAATTCTTTCAGAACAGCATCTTGAATTTTCTTCTCGTGTATCAATTCCTCCAAACTAGACCCTTGGACGCCAACCTTTTCGGCAAGTTTCTTCAATGCAGGCTCAGCTGGAACGATTAAAGCAACAGGCTTGGTTCTCTGTGAATCAGCATAAACGCAGATATTCGCTACCACGGTAGCTGAGCGATAAATAGATTCGAGTTTCTCGAGTGCGATGTATTCTCCATTTTGAGTTTTGACCAAGTTCTTCTTTCGGTCAATAATATTGAGATGGCCGTTCTTGTCCCACTCCCCAATATCACCAGTCTTAAACCATCCATCTGCAGTCAAAGCTTCTGCTGTCTCTTCAGGATTCTCATAGTAGCCTTCCATGACAGTATCTCCTCTGATCCAAATTTCTCCTTGAGGGTTTGGCTTGTTCGTCGCATAATATCCAGCATCTGGGAAATCTACAAGCTTGATTTCAATACAACCAGGAATATCACCTAATGCTTCATCAGTCCATTCCATAGGATCCATCAAAGCACCCATAGCCGTGGTCTCCGTTAATCCATATCCGTTAATCATCGGTGTAATGGCCATGGAAATAAATCGCTGAGTATCTTTGGCGATTGGTCCACCACCATTCAAGCAAATTCTTAGTCTTCCACCAGTAGCATCCTTGACTTTCTTAAATACCAGAGCATCTAAAACCTCAGCACCCGGAAGACCGTAACGTAAAAGGTTATTCTTGGCCCAAAGTGCACCCCAGAACAGATTTTTGACGATTGGACTTCCACCGTTGACTTTGGCAACGATACCCTTTTTGACCGACTCCCACACAGCGGGAACACCAACTAATACAGTCGGCTTAAACTCTCGAATATCTCCCTTGCAATTTTTGACTGATGTATCCGACAGGGTCTTGGGGTTTCCGTAACCCATAGTTCCACCCCAGTATAAACAAGCATTTTCGAAGACAAACTCGAGAATATGGGCTAGGGGAAGGTACGTCAAAAGGCCGTCACCAGGACCAAGATATGGCTCGACAATTACGTTAACACCAGCGACTATAAGAAGCGCAAGCGCTAGTCAGTACAAGTACGTATCTTATATTCAACAGGATAAACTCACCAGCTGCGACAACTGCTTTGTGCTTAATTGGCACACCCTTTGGTGGTCCGGTAGAACCTGAGGTATACATGATGCAGCACAAATCTTCCGGAGCGGGAGCTACTGGTTCGACGGGGTTTTCTTCACCAAGCTTTCGCAACTCTTCAAAGCTCAAAATCTTCAGCTTCTCATGTGCCTTCTTGAGGTTATCGATGTTCTCTTGCTTGACCTCATTCTGACTGTTCCAGATAACGTATTGAATGTCTTTAGCTTCCTTGAGGGGGTTGATCAAAGTTGGTAGTAGATGAGGATCCAAAAAGATAGCTTTGGCTCTGGTTGCAACCAGAGAGTGTTTGAGGCCTTCCTCTCCCAACGTATCATATGCGGTGACAATTGGCATTGATTGAGATACCGCGCCATGGGCACATGCTAACCAATGAGCACTTGTTGCAGCAAAAATATGCACTCGATCCTCTTTCTTCAACCCAAGCTTTCTGTAACCAGCCCCAATTTGTAAGATTAATCTCTCATATTCTGCGAAACTCAAGTATTTGTACTCGCTGAGTTCAAAGTATGTCCATTTCTTATCGATTTCTCGTTGTTCACCATCGACCATTTTCTTCACCTTCTTCACTTCTTGGTGAGTCTTGATCAATGTTCGACTCCCGACAGCTTTGGCATTGCCATACTTCTCGGAGCTTCGCTTGATTATATCGAAAACGGTTGAAACATCTTCCGAAGGGCGAGTCGCGAGCTTGTTGACTGTCAAAGGATGTCTTCTTGGAATAGTCTCACCTTGTACGGGTTTGTAGCCCGGAGCGTCCGTACTGAAAGGTGGCGAGTGATAAAACTTAGGTTGAACCGTGGCATTCTTGAGCGAAGCCGAGGATGACATTGTGTTATGGTGGTGGCAATGGAGCTCAGATATTAAGAATTGATGTGTTGGGATGAGTAGTTTGAAGTTGTAGTTGAAGGGACGCTCGGTTCTTAGCTGATTTGACCTCGTGTTACTGTAGACAAAAGATTCGCGTGGCCCTTGAAATTATTTTGCTTTGTGGAGGACAATGTAATTATTTGATTTTCTCTTTTTTTTTCTCAGAACAAGAAAAAGATGAAGTTGAAGATTTTTGGAAAGTTCAAAATATTTGAGGAGGCTGTGAGGGGGAAAGGGACAACCATAAATTACTAGGTGATTAATTGAGTGATTACTGATTGATTGACTGATTGACTGATTGAGGTAAGTAGGTAGGTATATGTATGACGCTGCCTTGCTTTCTTCTTTGGAACCAAGATCCCTTCAGAGCTTAAAGCAACCAAGGTGTCATTTAATGCACGGTTACTCACCCACAACCACCAAAGAATTATTACAAGTTCATTGGTCCACACATCTCCCACCATCCATCAAGCTTCAACCATTCCATTCACCCCCTGCTAGCAAAATCTCAGATTCGGAAATCTAGATTCACCGGAACCCGCGAAAAGCTAAACATCTTACCTAGATACAGCTCAGTGTTGATGTTGATGTCTTCATGGCACACATCATAACATTGTAACATCTTTCGTTTGCCATGTATCATGGCTATACACCACCTACTTGCGTACCTCCCTTCCTCTATTTGATCACCAGGGTATGGAGGAATTAAGGGGAATATAGTTAGTGTCTTATGCAATACATGTTGTTGATGCTACCCTAGGTACTCATAGCTACTTGTGTCTGCTTAAGCTTCTGACACTCGAGCTTGATTGACATTGCATGGACCGTCGTACGTACTCTGTGCTCCTTCCTGTAAGCAACCCTTCTGAATCACATGTGGGGTCAAGACAACAAAAGAAAAGAACTTCTTCACTCGCTCGGTATTTACCATCACATTGGATACATGCCAACCATTAAAAAATCCGCAGGTCTCACGAAGTAGGATATGATAGGCCATTAAACTGCCTCAACATTAAGCCCTATTTTCCTAATAGACATAGTTAGGTCTATTGAAAGCCTTTCTCCACCCAACTACAGCCATCAATCATGGATGGCGTACAATCATTTCTGAATTCCCTTGGCCCAGAGGTTGAGGATCCCGAAGAAGGTAGGCATAGGAATTCATTTCCTATCTATTCCATTTCAAATAGTCTTCAATATAGCCAAGTGGTCTTCCAATTGCTTGGAACGAGGCAGTGTGAGAGCCTTGGTCACACAGCAGCTGACCGTGGCGCAAAATGCTTAACAAGAAAGGGGAAAACTTTGAAATTATCGAGATGATTATTGACAAGTTTCTGTGTGACCAAATTTTATATTATGAGCACAACTTCGTATCATATTTCCAAGAGTACTAAAGAATCAGGCGGATTCATAAAAATGTCCTAAATCCCTCCATATTTAGCCAAGATCATAAGCTAAATAGTAATTATAGAGGCGTTTCTGTTATTCTCTCAAACTATACCGTCTCAAAATCTCGGATTTGTCGATTCAAAGGCCACAGAAATAGATTTGACAATTAATGGTAGAGACCTCACAATTTACCAATCCCCTACAATTCTATCATCGAACCGAGATGGTGGAACTACTGGAGCAGGTAAATTACCTTTTCCTCGTGTATGAACACTTCAATTAATTCATCACTAATGATGGCATCAGTGATATGGAAAATCACTCCTCTTTTTGCAAAATGGATATCCTCACCTTCCAATCCACTCATCCAACATGAGGTCATTACCCCAGAATCAGTCGTTCTTGAATTAGGCTGTGGGATATCTGGTCTAATAGCCCTTACTCTATCACCTCTCCTCCAGACCTATATCCTTACTGATCAACCATATATTCTGAAACTCCTATCTCAGAATCTCACTTCCAACTCCTCCACATCATCAAATACCACAAACTCGAAATCCAAACCTCGCAAATCAAAAAATTCTCCTTCAACATCCGCATCAACACTCCAACCACTCTCCACCAACAAAATCATCCCCCTAACCCTCGACTGGGAAACCGACGTCGTATCGTCTTCCCTTACCTGTTCAGAAACCACTACAAGTTTCGACACAATCATAGCCTGTGATTGTATCTACAACGACGCCCTAATCCCACCCTTCGTTCAAACTTGCGTCGATCTCTGTCTTCTTCGTTCCTCATCCTCATCCTCATCTTCAGAAGGAGAAAATCAACCCAACCCAACTCTCTGCATCATAGCCCAACAACTCCGTTCCCCGGATGTCTTTGAATCCTGGCTCAAAGAATTCAGTAAATATTTCAAAGTATGGAGAGTACAGGAAGGGGGTATACAGGAGTGTGGGCTAGGAGAAGATTCGGGGTTTGTGGTGCATGTTGGGGTTCTAAGATAGGTATTAGAAATGCAATATTTCTCGTAAGTAGAGCACGGGAAATACAAAGCTCACTCAAAATATTTTGTCAGCTTTGCTTCCGCTTCGTTCTTGTTGAGGGATATTTGGATTTTTATTACAAAGATCAATGATTATATTGCTCTGTTGAATAGAATACCCTGAATGCCATTTGGAATTAGAGGCCCATAAATAAAGTCACAAGTAATTTATATAAGCGCATCTGCAACCGATAATAGTTGATGAACATCACCCTCAGTAATAATGATCCTACCTCTAAGCACAAACACCTATCACCGCAAGTTAGGATCTCAATGGGTTGAAACATAATAGCACAGTTTGTATAATTTTGAATGGTACACTATATCCAAAACATTCTATGTATCTACAATTTTAGAAGTACTATCCTGATCTAAATAACCGCCGGTGTATCTAATCTCATTAGAAAATTATAAAAGAATTTTTTTAAAACTTTTTTATTATTATATAATTGAATTAGTAATAAAACTTTATAATTGATTTATTTTATATTTCTTTAGTGTTTTTTTTTTTTTAAAGATTAAAAATTAATTTTAAATAATTATTGATTTTCTGATATTATAATCTTACTATATATAAGGTTTATTTAATGAGTGATAGAAAATAAAAAATTCACTTAAGTGAATCGCGATCCTGTGACGTACAAGAGTCTCATAAGAGCTGAATAAACAGAGTCAATTATATTCCTTAGAATCTACAATTGAAGAACTATGACTCGTAGGGAGCATCCATATATATATACAAAATACCTATACGGTAGCTGCATGGTTGTGCGCTTTCTTCCTTAAGGTGATCATAATGCCATACTAAAAAAGGGTGAATTTGGAAAGATGTGCACAGACTATCAGCTCACCGATAGGAATTGTCGATCAATTGGAATCACGTGATCGTCCTTTATACGAGGTCCGTGACAATAAAGGTTTTGATATCGATTATATTGATAATTATTTTTGTTTTCAAAAAATTATAAAAAACAAAATTATAAATATATTTTAATTACTTTTTGATATTTTGATAATATATATATTTTAATATTAAATTGATATTTATAAAAAAAAATTGTTGATATTAATTATTATTATTACACAATAATAATCTTTAAGAAAAGAAATATATTCGAGTTCAGATAATGGAAATGAACTTGTTTCTCTGCCTCCGACATCTAAGATCAAACCGTGGGCGCTAAATACTACCGTTGAGCTTTAAAAAACTATATAGCACTTGAGATATAACAAACGCTAGACTTATATTAGATGCTTCAAGAGTGATGTCAGCGGAATCATTTGTGGAGCTGCGAATGCAAATTGGAAAATTTGTTTATAATGTTTGATACTTATAATTTTGAAATCTCTTGAGTAAAACCAGCGGACATCACCGTTAAGCTTGGCCAAGGCGCTAGTAATAAACATATAATTTCTGCTACATGCCTCGAGAACGGAATCAGCAGTCTGCAACTGCGATGGCTGACGACAAGTATTCGACGGGGATGATTATAAGTTTTGAAGAGTATATTAAAAAAAGAACTCGTAGATTATTAGGACTACAGTACTAGCCAACTGCTATCAGTCATTTCATAAATTATATCAAAGAAATTTATTATAAATTTCTTGTTGAAAATCAGAGTATTTTTTAAATATTTATTAATAAAATAAACGAAAATAAAAAACTTTTTAAAATGATTTTTTGAATTATATTAATAATTATATTTCAACTCTTTGAATTAAATAAAAATATAATAAATCAATACTTAAATTTTCAATTGATTATATTTATTTTAAAATATTGATTTTTATATTTACAAAAATAATAAATTATTGATTTTAACTATGAATTTTAAAAACAACTGATACGAGTTGGCACGGACTGTATCATAAGTAGCCTGTACAAACTCAATACTCAGCGACGGACAGGTCTTTGAATTAGCAGAGAGAGCAAAATCAAAAGTCATAGATACGAATTACTAATATCTAAGGCGGTAAGGCGGTAAGGCGGAAACACCAGAGAGTTTTAGGGCCAGTAGTAACAAGTGTCTCGAGTTATTGACGAATGACGAGGCTAAGTATGAGATTTCAAAGAGCCGAGGAAATTAGTCTATACAGCATCACCTAGAGAGGCGTCGGTAATTATTTAAATGAGATAGAGGAAGTCCGCAAGGGATTGCGTATAGAAAGAAAGCGCCGAGCATATAGACGAGGTTGTGGAGGTTTATAGAGAATACTACACTAAGAAATATCTGGAAGAGCGCCTTGAGAGAGAAAATACCCGGAAGGAAAGCTGCACCAATTCCCCACCAGCGGGAATTAAATACTGAGAACTTTGTAGCGAACAACAAAATTACACGAATCAGGAACCATCAGTTCCTGCCTTTAGTCATGAAGTTTAAGGAGATAGCTCTATGACACCAACAGGCCTTATAATTTGCGAAGACGGCAGAATTCGAGACAAACTTGGGAGTAAAGTCATATATATGGTTCAAGCGACTATTCTGAGTTGAAGAATGATGTGCCTGTGCTTGGGAAGAAACTTTCAAAGTTAATATTGAGATATAAAGAAGATATTGAAATACTACATCAAATCTTGGAAAAGTTGAAGGAGTGCAAAAAGGAGGTTAAAAGCGTAATCAGGAAAGGCACCACACAGGAAGAACGCGCCGAGTAAAGACTTGAATGTGAGGAGCCTTACAAGCACATCATCCCTGACGTATTTTTGGAGACGCAGTCGAAGGCTTTAGAGCTTATTAGAAAGGGGGACATTCCAGCTCAGAACTCAGACGAGATGGCTCAGCACATGTTGCTAGCGGAACAAGAAAAATTATACAAATCAAGATCTACTGATCATTCTTCTCGGTAAGGAAGTAGATGAAATTAGTCGTAAAGGCGAAGAAACAAATCCATAGTGTAAAAGTGGTAGGCCGAGATACGTGCGTCCCGATAGCATGCTGTGAGGGAGAATTGGAAGAAAAAGCTGAATTAAATTATATCGTAATATATCATTTATAAAGAAAACGGGATTCACAATGGTTTTGGGATTGATGTTATATGGGTTCAAATGTATATGTGTAAAAGATTGATTATTGTGGAAAGGAAAAACAAGAACCTTTCTTTTATATCTAATTATAGGAGGTTATATGATTGACTGATTAAAAACTTCTATGTATCTGGCTTATAATTCCAACTTTCTCACAATAGAATCTTCTATTTGGTTTGCTTCGGAGGTAACAACTATTGAAATTTCCCTTGCCACTGTAGTTTGTATTTCACCATTCACACTTTTGAGCATCGATGCTGAAAATTTCTCCAAATTTCTCGAACGCAGACGGTTAGAATTTAGAGTGGTTTGAAGCACAACTTTGGAATTTTGAAAGACGGTATTAGAGTTTCGAAAGGAAGGATGCTGGGATACTCGGGTAACGTGTCGGATATGAGTGCTTGAAATACGCCTTGAAGACGAAGGTCCAAAATAGGGAATGTCGCGGAGAGTTTGGAGTGAATGTTGAAAATATTATTTGAGAGAGAAAATTAAGAGGAAGGTAGGGGGTGAACTACTTTTTAGGAAGATAAAGAAGGCGGAGCTTGGTAATAGGAACGGATATTTGCTAATGGGTAAATTTTAAGGGGGAATGGTATACACAAGGAAAATTTAGAGGTACGTGGTGGAAGAAGGTAAGATGATGCATTGGAGATCTACTATTTTTGACGCGCATGGGAATTATATTGATGGAGATGTGTTTGATATTATTATGGATTTGAGGTCGTAATGCTGATTGTTGATGGGTATTGAGGAAGTCTAAGGGGTTTAAGAAAACCGAAGATTCCTGAAATTGGATGTCACCGAGTACGGCGGTAGATATGACGGCTAGATGCTGGCCTGAAGGATTCATCATCGAGTGGCCGGTAATAGCTGATTGTGTCATTATCCACAGTTGATCGGAAATCGAAGGCCATATCAACTCAAATAATTCGGATTTTAATGCTTGCTTTCTTACTACTGGCTAATCATTAAACCTAGCCATGCTGCTCCAACAGGACGCTATCATAACCAAATACCAAATCATTGAAATTGATATCTATAATAGAACTTCCATACAATCCCCAGCCTCCACGAATCAACCATGGAATATGATATTGATGAAAAGTGGGCAGTAAAAGAGTCTATTCCTCATGAAATAATGTTTCAACAATAAGTTGGTTCTTGGATACTGTAGGAAAGAGGTCGACTACACCCAACGCGCTCCCGAATATGGTTGTTACAAGATAAATTAGCATTAGAGTATCATTGATAAGAACTGCTCAGTCCAAAGAAAAAGCATCGATGCAACAGGCACACAATCCTCATCTAGATGAGCAAGTTAAAGGGAAGGAGCGAGTTGCCTCACTTGGCCTCCCAACGAAGTGATACTATTCCTAGCTTATGCTCTTATATAATTGTTTTCAAAGTCCATACATTGCCATCACGGCTTTCAAAGCATTTTGCATTAGAGTTTTGCGTCTTCCCGGAGATGTGGATTAGCCGGCCCGTCATACCGTGAACTCGACGTTTTGTCTTGAATACACCAATACATGTCATATCTATTTGTAGCTGGTTCCTGACTTTGGAATGGATCCTTTTGGCATATTTACGTTGCGAAAAAACATACATTCTCAAACATATCTTTTGAAACGCCGTTCTCATGGACCAATTCACCTCCGTACTGTGTAATCTTAGATGATGTTTAACTCAAAACATTACGTCATTCCAAAATTCTGCAGATCTACCTACCACAATAAACAACCACTTACTAGGATAACTGGCCAGCTTGAGAATCGTATCAGAACAATACTAACAGTAACAAATACAAACGAAAACTAAAGGATTACCCATTACCATCTTGCGCGCTAGATTGCCGTTATCCAGATCAAGATGCTCCACTTGCAGCTCATTACCATACTCAGCACCCAAACCAACAAAAGTACAAGTGCCGTTCCTGCAATCAGAAGATCATAGACCCAAAAAAACGAAGAGATTTTCATGCAAGCGGTGACGACGTCACATCACCTACACCCTACGATGAGCAAAGCGCTCCATCTCCTTGAAGATCCTGCCCCATAATACGGTAAAAGCTTCCGGGGTCCCAACACCAGCATTCGGCACTCGAAAATCTAATGGTCATGATATAATCCCACT